ACCCAAGCATGACCTCTGGAAAGTGGTGATCGAAACAACGCACTTATGTTGTGCTGCAGATATACACCTGTCAATATATAAATAATTCACTAGCATAAACATACGTCATGAGATTAATCAACAAGGATGCAAACAATAAAAAAATTAGGTCAAGCAACACAAACTAACTCTAACCCTGTACAAACCACTAGAACGTTATGGCACATTCAAGCGTGCCTTTAATTATTTAATTTTCCATGTGCTTGGCGAAATGCAAATTCTAAAGATTCTATATTAAATTAAAATGTAAAGCTCAAAATTAGAGAGGACAGAAAAAAAATATTCAACATCGGATAAAAAATCAAGTGGTACTATAGTGCAAACCATTTTTGTGCCACAAAGCAAATTACATATGTATACAATCCTTAACGCCTAAAAAACTACAGAAAACACAAAACATCGTTACAAAAGAAAATTCAGTTTAAGCAATAAAGTGCAAACCGACAGGCAACCTGAGTCCTCCCTCATTGATCGGTACAAATCGGAGTCGAATATTTACCAGCTTAGTTACTGTGACGATTCCGATGATGCGGAGGACTGTCAGAGGCCAGAAGACCAGAAGGTGTTGGCCGAGTTGAAACGGACAGAGTCCTTCATGGAGTTGAGCCCACAGAAGCCTTCCAGATCCCCACTTGACGCTATTCGACAGCTTGTGATTGATATCGGTGACGCAGCAGCCCTCGATGCCGTCCCCCAGTTAGTTCGAGTGCTACAAGAAGAATTTGCACCGAACGGTGGTGAGGACAATGACGTAGCTGCCAGCATACCTTATCCTCCTGTAGATGCGTTTACTCTTGACTTACTTGATTACCGACTTGGAAGAAAACCCGACGCCTTGGTGTCAGTACCACCCGCTCCTGCTTGCAAGTATGAAACCTTGGCCGCCCACGATCCGTTTGACATGGACTTTGATTTTGAAGTAGTTTGCAAGAATGGGCTTCCGGAAATACCTTTTAACCCCACTGGTAATGAGAGGTCGCCGTTACACAAATCTGGTGGATTCGGTTGGTTTCGTTTTATTAGATTTACGTTAGTAAAATGTTTTGATGGCTACTTACAATTGGTGGTGGTGTTGTTGTTGTTGTTGTTAGGTCCCTTCCTCGACTCGCTGCTGAACCGATTGGGGAGTATGCACAAGAATTGCTTCTACACAAATCTGCTGTTAACTGACATAGTTTTAATACTTGCGAGTTTTCACCAGCACCCTCTGGCTGAAGTGCTGCTGGGGCTTGTGGATATCCAGTGGAAAGTACCTGTGAGAACACTTTATCAGGTAAATGACTCAGGGTCAGCACAGAGAACTACGTTTGCTTATTGGTTGTGATTAAATCGTGTGATTGGAATCTCCTCCTAGGTGCTCTTGGATGTAAGAAAAGACCTTGAGTTTGCGCTGGCCGCGATTCCGAACTGGCGTGTGCTGGTAGAACAGGCCACGCGCTTTCTGCATGGTCCGAGTGATCGAAATCCAGAGAAGGTGTTGCCTCCACCTGTTCTGGTGCAAACTGACTTGGGTGTGGAAAGAGGAAGTGCTAAGGGTAAGTTGGCTTTTGCTTGTGTACGGCAGACTAGGTTCCGTGGCATTGGGTTTACTGGGTCGTTGTTAGATCAAATGAATCAGAAGAGTAGCTTTTAAGTGACGGCAGGCATTGGCATCCTAGCCGACTTACTGATGCACCGAAGGGGGGATTTTTCCCGTAAGATTGCAATGGAGTGGGTCAATTGTTTTATGGAAGGAAATGCAGCGAAGTGGTAGTGTGTTGGTGATGCGGTTCGACACGTAGAAAGGGTAGTTAGTTATAGACCCGGACGTGTTGCTGCAATCGTTGGTATGACTTGAGCACCACAAATGCGTTTTTTGAGAGGTGAATAGGCAGGATGATGATTTGAGACTTGGGCCTCTGCGTTACACCTGGCATGAAATAAAGCAGGTCGATAGGGCAGTTGTATTGATACTCCCTTGATTATTTGTACAGTGTCACAACAAGAGCGTGCTCGAAGTGCATCGGTTAGTCCACCAGTTCCTACTCCTCCTCCTCCTGCTGCTCCTCCTCCTCCTCGTCTATCTCAACAACCGCGAGGTCGTCCACATGATCCTGCCGCGTTCACCAGACCACCTCCTGCGTGCAATCGGTCAGCTAGTGTGACTCCCGTGAATGTGCCGCGTTGGCGGACGAAGGTCCTGGAGCCGATGGTGCCAACGACGCCACCAGCACTTCCTTCAGCACGACAACGACGCTCCTCGATCGACCGTCTGTCACAGCTGTTTGGTCTGTCTAATTCGTCGCCGACGCCCACGTGTCCCCCACCCACACTAGTCATTCCTGTGTGTACGCGTAATATCATCTTCGCGTACGTAGTCTTCAACGACTTTTGTCTTGAGCTGGCTAGCCTATGTTGTGAGCATGGCGTCGCGTTTGCCAGCGTGTTACCTGGATTCGAGAAGACACTTGACTTGGAACACTGTTTGGCGGAATTTTGAGAGTTCTTTAGTGTCCTGGTGATTGTGCTGTACTCAGACCTCTCCACCTTATTTTGCGACAGATACCTTTTTTACTTATCTTCGTCCACACTGATCATTGCACTAATAAGGAAAATAAACCAGAGATGTGACTTTCTAGACGGTGTTTCTTGTGTTGGTGTGTGTAGTCGTTCTATTAAATGCCAAAGCTTCCTAGCAGAAATGCGTGTTGGCCAGGTCATGAACACAGTCGATACCCGGACATGGCGTATTTACATTAGGCTAAGAGCACGTAGATTTGGATGACAATGCTTGGCAAGGCAATTTTCATGTGGTAAGTTGGTCTTTGTTGGTAACGAGTTGGCAGGTAGTGTGGCGCAGTTTGGTTGCGCATTTCTATGTGTTAGTTCAATATCTGTAATCGTCGGTACCTGTAATGAACGGCCAGAGGTTTTTTAAGAGGTGGTTTCATTTCGTGGAGCTGTTTGTTATGCATTCACATGTGTGAAATGTAGGGATTGCCTGATTGTATTTATCGTCATTGTTGCCGGATGGGAGTAAGCTACGATTACTTGTGTCATTTCACAGAGAGTGGAGGACAGAATGCCATTCATGAGAAGCTGGAAAATACGCAGAACCGCGTTGATTCGGAAGGGTATGCGTTTGCAGTGGAACAGACCGTCGTGGATGTTGATAGTCAGCAGTAGGCAGTGTATGAAGGCGACTTCGTGTTGGAGATGGACGTGGGCGAATTTGAGGTTGACAAGGCATCATCCACAGCTTAGTGTTGTAAAAATGTTCTCTGGAACTAGCAGGTGATAGCTGAGTTTTTCTTTGGCTGCGTTGAGATTGGAGGAGTAATATGTGCGCACGCTGATTCAGGCGTTGATTGTCATAATCACGATAGTTGTTGCTGCCAGGGAGGAGTAGGACACTGGGGATAGGCTACTGTTACTGGTGTCGAAGACGTTGAAGCTCAGCATCTGTCAGGGGAATCAGTGCATAGGAGGCACAGTGGCTTGTGTCACAGGACGGTGTCGTAGTCATGAGTGCATCAAATCTGTTGTTGATGATGACGTGCTATGCGCAGTAGTTTTGGTTGGAGACAGCAGAGCACTGAAAGTGCAAATCATTGATGTGCATGTAAAAACCAACCTCAGGAGCAAATCCATACATATGAGATTTAGCTTGGTGATGGTTGTAAGACGAGCCATTAAAAATGATTCTGTGGATTAAAATCCAAAATCGAATTTAATCGCAAACTTGGATTTCACTAAAGCAGATGCTGGTAGGGTTTTTGAGTTGGACTTGACTAGAGGCCAAGCAAGTTAGTTCGATCGTGTATCGGAGACGGCGGTGAAATCTGAGGACTAGTCTGAAAGCGAACTTACGTAACGCGTGCTGATCCTGACGGTGATGCGCTTGCGCAGCTGATGTACACTGGACTGAAAGGTGGTGGTTGGCCTAAGTGAGGACTAATTAAGCCAGCTGACTTGGTCCCTGGCTAGTTGTGGTGTCGATGGTGCCGTTTACCCTTCTTGGACGGAGTTGGTTGACAATAACCGTTCTATTTAAACACGCTCCTGCATTTCTGGCATCAATGCTGGATGCATGTAGGGGAAACAGTGAAATGTCAGGTCGCACAGTGCCAACCCGTGTAAGTATGAGCCTCCTTCGATTTCGCTTGACGATTTGCGACAATGTGCCTTGCGTCCAGCTTTGAAGGGTACGAGTGTGTTGGCCAGAATTGGGAGGACACATGGCAGGCCGCTGGACTTTATTGACTATGAAATGCCAAAAAGCATATTAAGGTCATTCTGCACATAGTGTGAGTAGTTGTATTCCACAGAGATTGCTGTATCTGCTTATATTGTGTGTTGAGTGCAGCGAATGAGGCTGGGAGGTGTAGATTCGCGCTTTGGTTGAAATTGGAGTTAGAACTGCTGAGATTCGTGGTTGACATTTGCAATGTAGTGTCAAAGTCCTTGCTTTCCTCAACCCGACTTCGACAGGCAGGTAGCGCGTGTTTTCCAAATGTCTGTTACCGTGTCTGGATGGCCACCTCGAGACAGCGGTTTTATATAATGGTGGGAGATGAGGCAACATTACGATTTCAGTTTAACCGGACCAAGTTACAGAATCAGGGGTCAGACTTGTCAAGTCTTTACCAAGTTACTGAACCTTGGGAGAGTAACCGCCTTTCCAAGGCAAGTGCAAAGACTGTTTTGAGCAGAATTATTGATGTTGCAGCCAGATGCCGAGAAACACATGTAGATCTGCCCACTGATATACGACGTTTGTGACCTTAAGCACTGTCAAGTGCAAAAAGCACATTTAGAAGTGACTGACTTCATAGAATCGAGGCCGTGAAATGAGGATGGAGAGTGGCCTTAAAATAAATTGAATAAGTGGAAAATGAAAATTGTCATGTGTTTGAAATATATGGTCATGAGAACGCTGATACACCAACACAAGTCTCTGTGACCAAATTATTTGTATCCGCTGTTTGAAGCATTGTTTTGATTGATTTGTTAAGTTTTATCAATTGGGGGATTAAGTTGGTTGAGTATGCCATGATTATGATCAGCCTTATCTCGTGAATACTTGTACCGCCATTGTAGCGGTACATGGAGTAACTGTTGCGGAATAGGAAAACTGGAACATTGGCTGAATTTCGATTTTATCTATAGCCTTTTCTTGTTGTTCCATCGACTATTGGACAACTCACATGCGAAAGTTGATTCATCAGATTATGGTACACATTGGCATCCTACTTATTCGTGTGAAGAAGCGTGCATAGGGAGTCAGATGTGCAAGAAACCCAAGTTTAATTTTGTTTGTGACACCTTGAATACGCTGGAATTTTCTTGTGTCATGAGCAGGGTTTTGATTCTTGCAATGATTTTTTACATAGTGCTTCCCAATTCAATTTTTTGCATCTTCTACGGTTCTTGTTTGCAGTCAGTAGTCCAGAATTGTAGGATAAAGTCTGTACGTTAGTTTTAAAGTTACTAGTTTGCTTTCCAAAAGCAGACATGACAAATTTGTCGAGAATTGTTGTCGATTGTGGAAGCATCATTCATAAGGCCTTCACATGCGGCTGCTCAAATGCAAGTAAGTAATTGGTGGAGAATAAGCCATTAGGAATTGGGCGCGGTATCCGAAGTACTGTGAATGCTGGTTGTCTGAAGTTTCGCATTTAAATTTTGTTAAAGCGTGACTGGTTGTGTCTGAGCAAGGTATAAGAGAGCAACAAGCGATTTTTTGAAAGTAATTTTTCAGAAGTAGATCCTAGAGTGTAATTTGTTGTTGATGTGTTAGATGTGGCAAGTAGTTTTTGGTTTCTCGAAGTGTGAGTTTCTAGTGACTGACTGGGATGTGCAGACATCTGGTGGATGGACGCGTGTACCACCGAGGACCTATTGTTGATGTTGTTGTTGAATAAAATGTCTCGTAAAATTCTGAGCGAGTTCCGCTTTAAATTCAGACTAATTTTCATTTGCCAGTTGTGTTATTTATTTGATTGATGGGGTACCGAAGAGAATATATGTATTTTAGACGTTTAATGCTATTACCTCGAGTGGTTTGTGCTTATCGTCTCCATGTTGTACCTACATAAAAGAGAACTCTGGCGTCCTCACTAGTTCTTTTGAATGAGTAACCCGCATGAGTTTGTATAACATGCCTGTAAGTAGCTTTATCAATATTTCAGGCGTGCGTCGATTGGGATGTCTCTGTCTGACATTTCAGATAATCTTGGTGAGGGGGAGGCAGAAGTGGTAAGACCGCCGTGGTACTGGATAATGTGTAATTGCTAAGGTTCGTGTGGATGGTGAGTGGGAACTTGTGCCTACCTGTGAGGTAGACGATGTGGATGTGTTTGAGAAAGATGAAGAATATTGCGAGGATGCTGCTCCAGGTGGTATTGGCGACCAAAGCATGGTGGACGAATCTGGTGTAAGTATGGAATGTTGTTGTAAAGTGTGGTTAAATGTGTAGACTTGCATGATTTGTTTCGAGTCGTGGACCACATCGGGCCCCCATCGTATTTGCTGTCTTCGCTGTGGACACTTATTTGGCAGGAGTTGTGTAATAAAGTGGCTGAACATGCAAGGTGCCAAGGCTGGCAAGTGTCCTCAGTGCAATGCGAAGGCACAGACGAGGGACATTCGGGTGTTGTTTTGTAAGAAGATAACGGTGAGAGTTGCTCTTGTGTTAGCCCATGTGTGCGAGATCTGGGTTTTCGTGTATTGTCTGTATGATGTAGGCCGTAGATACGACGGACAGGGATAGAGCGCTGCATGACTTGGAGGTTGAGAGGAAGCTGCGGAAGAAGGCGGAATTGGAGTTGTCGGAGTGCAAGTTCAAGCTTCAGTTAGCGTCGTGTGATGCGGAGCAGCTTCGTGCTGAACTAACTGATCTCAGGACCATTGTCGCAGGTTTTAAATCTGTGGCGAGGTCATCAGTCAGCACGACGGAGTCAAAGAAGTAAGTGCACAGATTGGCGTGGTGTGTAAGGTTGTCTAAGGCAAGTGTGTATTTTTGTGTTGTTAGCTTGGTAGATGTCGTTAGCAGCACATTGTTTGATGATGGTTTTTACTGAGAAAATAAATTTGTTGTTGAAGCCAGTGATGTACCTAGAGGCCGCAATCTAAAGCGACTTGATAAGCGAACAGTGTGTTGAATATCGGTATGAAGGAGGTGCAAAATGAGAAGTGTGTGAAAGCGCATTTAAGGGAGATGTGTAAAAGTTGAGTGTTCCCCTGGTGTTGGATCGATTGATTGTGGAATTGCTTGGTTTCAAGTGAACCAGGTTGGGAGCGTATTCCAGGATGAAGGATGAGAAGTCTTGAGCTGCACTTGCCTGTAGGACACGCGTGTCTAAGTTGTTCCACGCGTCTGCATTGGCATCCTCAATTGTAGGTTAGGAGAGGGCAACTCGGACGTCGGTGGATATGGTTTGGAGAAGTGTATTTCGATGTCGGCGGTGAGTGACTATCGAGTGTGTGTGTTTGTAGTCAGCATGCATGCATGCATGTGTGCGTGCGTGCGTGCGTGCTTGTATAGGTTGTAAAGGTGTTTTATTTTGCAGGGTGGCCAATGTCGAGTGGTGGCGTCGTGTGATTACATCAACCTGCTGTGTGTGTCCCAGGCGTCGATGAATCCGCTGTTTAAAGGGTTTGGAGTTAGAAAGGTAACTTGAGGCGAGGAGGTCTCTGTGTATTTGCTGCTACTAATAACTTACTGACACGTAGTCGGTTGTAGGGAAGCCGCAGCGAAGGAGGTGAAGTTAGTAGACTGTAAAAATTTGGTTTATGCGTGTCTGGGTGTGTGTTCACTTTGAATCCGAAGTTGTCACTGGCAGTTGTGAAGTACGCGATCCACGTGAATGGGAGATTCCCACTTTTTTGACTCAATAGGTGCATAGCGGTGAAATGCGACCACTGAAATACATCCACCTTCACCCGCAGCCGATTCGCGACCTGGCCTTCCATCCGGACCAGCAAGATGCCATAGTTGCCTCCGCCAGCTTAGACAAGTCACTGAAGCTCACCAGTCTGCTCGTTGATCAGGTAGGTTGTGTGACAGTAGAAGTATGCTGCTGTCACCCCATTGTTGCTGTTCTGGTGTCTGTTCGATAGATCCACTCATTGATTGTATCGAAGGGACACTCGGGTTTGTTGCTGCGGTATTCAGTAATTGTGTTGTTATTGCTATGTATATTGCAGCGAAATGACGTCATGTGTGGCAGTTGTTTTCACCTATCTGTGGTCACATGAGTTAATCCAACTTGGGGTGCAAGGTTGTAGACTTGTCGAGAGGTGTGATGGTTGAAGGGTTTGTTAGAATGCGATCGACCAGGATGTTTCGGTCTGGTGTTCATGTGTGGTGTTGCAATTCGCTGCTGTTTGAGTACGTGGAGTGATGGAGTTCGTGGGATTTGTGTGTGTGTGTGCGGTATGTATGTGAATTGGTGAATTGCTGGTTCTGCCTACGCGTGGTGTATGCGAGCTTTAAGGCCTAAATGACCCGTTTTTCTGGTTGACTAAATGAGTGTTCATTGACGAGTCGTCCCCCTACCACAGCCAATTGTGTTAAGCAATGCGCTGGTTTTTGGGGTGTAACCGTGCGTAGTTTTGACTGTTCGTCAGCACTAGGGAAGGTGGTTTATTTAGGAGCTTAGTGTGATGTTCTCGGTGGCCTTTTAGCACGGTAGTGTTGTAAAATGGTGACATTGAGACCGGAGCCGACCTTAGGTGTCTGACTTGCACGGTGCATGTATTTGTTTGTAGGTCGTTCAGACGTACTCGTGCCCAGCACCGGTTTGGAGTTGCTGTTGGGCCTCGCCAAGTCCCAATTATCTGTTCGCGGGCTGTGCAAACGGCACCGTTCTCCTGTTCGACATCAGGGTCACATCAAGAGAGGTGTCTGTGATCAGCATATGTGAGTCGAGCTCGGCACCTGTCACCGCCCTGCAGTACATCCCACCAGAGCACGAGAAGTCAGGCTTCTATCCGGGTGGACTGTTGGCTGGACAGTTGACGCAGGTACGGGCATGACATGTTGATGGTCTTATCATCGAATGCGCAGACCAGTATTGTAAAAGCTGGCTCACAATTGTGCGTGTTAGGTCAGCATGTTGAGAGAACTTTTGTAAGCTCGGTGTGGTTGAGGGTCTTTGGCGTTGACCTGGATTGGCTAGCTTTGAGCAGTGGATGTGGTAATTCAAGGTGGAAGTGTGCTCACTCTGCGAGTGTTTGCGCAGCACTCTGTTGGGGCTGAAGTAACTAGCGATAGGGATTTGTCAGTTGTGTTTGTAGTTTGAATTGTGTCGATTTAGGAAATTGGGGCTAAAATAAGTGAAGTGAGCAATATGAGCAAACTTTGTCGCAAGTAAGCGAAAGAGTTGGGGTAATGTGGATTTATGAACCCGACAGGTAACATTTCTGGAGGAGGAGGCGGAGGGAATGGTGAATCGTGGTGCTGGTGAGGAGGTCGCCTTCAGGGCCCACCCACTGCCACTGGAAGGCAGTCTGGTGTCGTTGTCGTGCTTGGGCACTCGGCGAAGTCTCTTCCTCGCCTCGTATCGACCGTCGACGCGTGTGCCCCGAGTACGGCACCTGTTCTCGGAGCTGACAGTGACACGAAGTGGCGCAGACCACCCCTGTTCGTGCGATTGCAAGGAGATAGTGAGCCTGTTCGGTGGCACGCAGATGCGCATGCTCTCGCGAGCCCGTGTGTTCCACCAGGAACAATCGAATCGTAAGTGGAGTTTCTGTTGTTGCACTGAGAACGGCGAAAGCGTGTTGCAATGGGAGTTGGGACTGGGAATTTTGTTTCAACTACACGTAGTCCTGGAAGTTGGCTAGCTGTGCATGTTAGGTACGTAAGACTGGCAGAAGAGAGGCCGATTTGTTCCCTTTACTTTGTTCATGTTCTCATTGAAGTTAACCCCTAAGGCAACGATAGTGAGCTGAAGCCGAGAGGGCGTGTCCGAGAAGGGAGCTGGGTGAAATACGCGTGTGTGATTGGTGGAGAGTTGTGTGCCCTTTGAGACAGTTGTTGACAGAAGGAGTTGACGTGAATGAATCGGCGTGCGAAAGAACAGGGTATATTTAAAGAAAATGTGTTAGTTTGTAATGGTTAAATGCAGGATAGTGGTTTGGTGAGGTTGTAGGTGTGCCAGGTATGCAGTTGGAAATGGGCTTGTGGTAGTTCTGTGCGTAGCCCAGATTGTTGGCGCAGTTGTTAAACTGTGGATGTCGAAGCAGAAGTTCCATTGTGTGGTGTTTAGCAGATTGACAGTGCCAGTGGTTCTTTAAGTTTTTTTTCTTGCCTTTTGATGCAAATGTGTGCTTGCCTTTGATTGGTGTGTGTGTGTGTTTGGATTCGTGAGCTGGTAAGATGCCGGTTATTTATGAGTAGTGTTGTATGATGGAATTGAATCGTTCCCTTTGGTTGTGGTTGCTGATGTTCAATCCCCGATGTTGGTTGGAACGAGCCGCGTCTGTTGTTGTTTGGCAACATGGAATGTAAGGTCCACGTGGATGCAAAGAAGAGGAGGTACAATTTGGTTGATAAGGCTTAGTCTTGGAAAAGTGCGGTATGCCTCATTGTAGCACAGAGGAGATTGCTGTACAACCCGCGAGAATGTGAGACGATATGGGTTGTTGTTGTTGACTATGCATTGGTACACATTGCCTGCAGTTGTGATGTTCTGTTGCAGAAATTCTGGCGGTGGCAGGAGATGATGACACGGGAGGGGCACTTGTGTGGAGTTGTGAGACAGGATCTCGTCTTCAGACTCTCCACTTGCCTACTGTGTGTCCATCGCCTGGTCCCGTGATCGACGTGTGTGCTTTCAACAATGGACAGCATCTTGCTCTGCTCACTGATCATGTGGTGAATGTATTTCGATGGTCGCAGTCCTCCACGGGTGCCACGGGGGACTCCGGGATTGCCGTTGTTGAGTGCGGTGGGTAGGAGGTGTCGCAGTGCCACTGCTCTTATGTTTAATTGTACATAGAGGTGTATATGCTAGATGTAGAAGCAAGTAAATGTGTAAATATGTAAGTGTATGAAGAAAATGTGTTGTCTTTGTGACAAGTGGTGGTTATCTTGTAGTTGCAAAGCCGTGAGCTTAAGTTGGTCAGTTGAAGTGGGTTCTGAGGTCTGTTTGTTGATTGGGCGTCGAGTGTTTTGCTGTTGTCGGCACATGCACGAACAACTTCGGAACAGTAGCCTGTTACTTTTAGTGGTTATCTTCAAATGGGTCTTGTGTTGCATCAACTGAAAGTAAGCCTAGTGCAGCCAAAGTGACTCAGCGATTACCCGGAACTGGATAACCTGGTGTAATTTTTGGTTGCAGATGGTTTGCGGTGTTGTTGATATCGAGAAATGAGACGGGCAATAATTCTGAAAGAAGAACGGAATTGGTTTTAGCAGTAAATTGAGAGGGTCACCGGTGAGCTACTGGATGTGCATCATTTGTCAATCACACAACACTTCAAACGATGTGATTAAAAGGCGTTGAATGTTTGCCTACAGCAATACTTTACGTGCAGAACTTCCACGGCACCAACTTCGTAAAAGTATGAGGCGTTGAGATGTGCAGAAGTTGTTGCAAGTGACTACATTTCTCGCATCACTTTATCTACGCCTGCGTAAATAGTAAATTTATTGCCGATCGAGGGGGTGATGTGTAAGTGGTAGACTGAATTCTGGAGGTATATGTTTCTCTCTTCCCTTAAAGACTAAGAAGGAACAGTGCAGACTTGGTTCTCGAAAGTGTAGCAAGAAATTTGAGGATAATTAGACAAGTTCTGCCGTTGTCACGTTGTCAGTCTTTGGTGAAGAAAAATTAAAGCATTGCTGAACTGTTTCATTACATTTAGCCAACTATGGACAAAGTCTTTGGAAATGCTCGGCTACTCAATAAAGTAATTGAGATTACCATTGGCAACATTCAAGTATTCAAATAACGCAATATCCGAGACAGTTTGCTTGAATCGAGGAAATACGATTTCTAACGGTGTCATACTGAGACTGGCGGTTATGGTCGAGAGCTTCACATGCGAATCGACCGGACAGTTGCAAATGTTTGTTGAAGTGTGAAGTTGTGTCGTGGTGAGTGCTGGTCGTTTGACTTTACGTGGATCGCTTCAATGATTCCCCAAATGTGTTTGGATAGGCCTCAGCCTGGGATATGGCAAAGGCAATTCTTCCAGAAATGGACAGCAGACAGGCGTGTACCCTCCACTTTATGATGGAAAGGTCTGTCCTCTGTGTCCATTACCCTGGTTCATAATCACAATCATTTTGTAACGAAGATGTGCACAGTAAGTATTTCCTGACGTTGCAGTAGTATGACACATATTCCTGATTGCCATCTACTGCCAGTTGAAAACCCTAACTTTGATTTAACCAACGGGGATTTGCAAAGGGAAGTGTCATTTGCGAAGGGCTCTTTATTAACACATACGGTAATCGTATGCCACTTTCATAGCGGCCCGACAAGCCAAGCTTTTCCACGTTCTGAATAAGCTCGTTATTGTGATGTCAGAACTACTTTTTGTCGTTTGTGGAGACAATGTACCCGATAATCAAATCTATCAAAACTATGTGGATATGATATATTTACCCTGCTCGACCCGCATTATTGACGATGGACTTTTCTAAAGAAAATTATGAACACAATCTACTAATTATTTACATGCATCCTGTGCATTTAATTGGAGGTGATTGGGCTGAGTAGAACATATTAAGAGAAACTCGGGCTGATTACATCTCAGAATATCCTAACCTGGCAAATTTATCAGCCAGATGTGTGGCGTCCGCAGACTGTTGTGTATTTTTCTTCAGATATGGGCTTTCGTTCTCAGATGAATGCGATATTACGAATATCTACAAATTGGATCAATGTTCATTCAAATAGACCATGTCAGTGAACTGTGGTGTGTGCTATGATATGTACACTGAGCACATTTTATCCGCAGCCTTTAATAAAAAAATTGAGAAGAAGAAGAAGTAAAAGCATAATCCATGAAAACAGACAGCCTCTGATGACTGTGACCTTCCGCCGTCGTATGCGATCGAAAAGATCTTCGAGTTTCCAATGAATGACCTCTTTGCCTGAGTCTCTAACTTTTGGCGCAGGGTTAAAATATAAAGTTGAGCATGCATAAGGAAATCAGCTCCGTTGAGTTCACAAAAAAATTTGAAGGGTAATAACTCATATAAACTTAACATTTAGCATCATCTTGCAATTCTAACTTTATTGCTCCATGCTATTCGATCACACAGAACTTGTTCCCTGTTTTACCATATTTCTAGTCTACTTAAATAATCTTAAAAATTTTAAATGCTGTATTTTTTGTTTACAACATTTACCCCAGAAGATTGATAATGATATTCAGCATTGTACCATTCTTCGTCCATGAAGTTATGTTGATAATGCTTCCAATTCCTTAGCCCAATCGTCATTTCTGACCTGCTCGTAAAAATGGAAGATGGGAAACTAAGAGTTGGTTCGTCTGTGCTTGTTGTTGGGAAGAACCTTAAAGGGACTGTTGCTTATATTGGAACAACTCAATTCTCGCCTGGTAAACGTATTTTTTCCTTATTTCCGCATTAGGAAAATGGGTTGGTGTTGTCTTGAACGAACCTCTGGGCAAAAACAACGGAACTGTCCAAGGAAAACGCTATTTTGACTGCCAGGAAAACTGTGGATTGTTTGTGCGGGTCCCACAAGTACGTTTACATGTGTGTCTGTCCCATTATTGTCTCATTCTACAAATCACTGACTGGCCATTTCTTGAAACTTCGCATAGATTTCGAGATTTTATTGTTACGTGGCTTGGTGACTAATCAGAAAGGTGAAGTATCTGTAATTATTTCTTATTAAATTGGCCTTTAATGGATACTAACTTCGTTGACCATCTAAAGGGCGTTATATGTACTTCAGTGGTGTTATGTACGTAAGCTTTTTATAATTGAACTAAGGCAAATCTCGGCACAATTTCGTCATTGTAATTGTGTTCCACGTTGCTGTCCTCAGTTTTACTTGTATTTCGGCCTTCAGTGTCTTTGACTTAGTCCACTGTAGTAACGCCTCAATTTAAATTGCTTCAACAAAATAAAATGCTTATTTAGGTTGCACTTATTGGACCTGATGGGGCCATTTCTGTAATGAACACGTCAACAAGCTCTGTTGCTTCTGATAGTGGGTCTACAGATAAACCAGCTCGCTTGTCGGCGCCAATTCCTAGAATCTCATCCGCCAAAGGTATCCGTTCTCTCAGGTTTTAACTGGCTACTTCTCCACACTCATTCGGCCTGTGTGGTTCTGTTTGTAAACCTTTTATAGAGTGTGTTCTTTTTTGATGCTTAGGTGAGCATTCACGGAGCCACACACCAATGAGTAGGCCACTTATTCCAAAACCAAGTAGTAGGGCAAATTCTCCCGCAACACGGCCACCGAAATGTGAGATGATGACAGTTGTGTGTTGGTTTTCGTTGCTGATTTGGATCTAACTCACCATTTTGCTTTCTTTAACGGCCCATAATTCTTAATGCATCGCTAATGTATGAAGACGAGGGGTCATTATAAAGTCCCTTAGTTTTTGACGCATATATTAAGCACCATTTAACTAAAAAAAATCTTTAGTTGTATTGTGTTTTTTTAGTTGCTGCATGTTCTTAAATTGTTGGTTTAAAATTCAACCGCCGTACTGACGTACAAACGGACACCCATCGAATTAACCGTCTAGTTGTGGTCAGCATAAAGTATCTCCTCCCACGTATTTTGTTGGTTAAAAGGAGCTCGTTCTCTTTTCGTTATTCGGTGCCTTTAATACATGTTTCACTTATTTTTAAACTTCGTTGACTTTGTTTACTAAATTTTACTACCTAACTTCATACTTCACTTTTTTTCATTTTCAAAACGCTAATATTCCTTTTAACGTAGTTTGATACATGTGTTTATGCAATTTCAATCCCTACGTATGATATCTAAACTACTGAATCCATCATTATAAACGTCTGCGCTTGCGCTGTTAATCAAACATAACCGCTCAAATTATTATTTAGCGCTCTCACCCACCCATTATTTCATTGGTCCAACGGCAAAAACCACTAAACATATCTTTTCTTCTTTCCTACTTGTATTTGTAGCTCAACTTAAACCACCTACTTTTGGTGGTAGGTCAAGTCTAGCTGCATCAAGGTCATCAAGCCAAGCAAGTATTGCAAAGAGTGAAGGTACTTATGACCACACTAATTAGCTACTGCTGATTTTCCTAACGCAATTTAAATCGCTTCGGCAATCACACTCAATTATTCTAAAGAAATTGTCCGCTTTCACTTCTTGGCTTAATAACACAGAAGTTTTTTTTGTAACCTAGATGATCTTGGCAAGGTAGAGGTGGGGCGAATGTCTGTTTCACAGGTCAGTACCATTGTTAACTGCTTTTTCTTTGATGCTTGGTTCTTTAGAGTCATGAGTTTTATTTGATTATTTAGACTGGGATTCCAAAGGAACAGACAGTACGTTTTCTGTACTATTTTTTTCGTTTGAAAGTAGTCTATTCTATCCAAAACTTTCATGTTGTTTCACTCTAGTCTTCGGCGCTGGTATTCAGTGCTTTCCAGCTGATGTGAACATATTTTGACTTATTCCTTGCATACTTGTTATTCGCCATGTTCACAATTACTTAATTCTTGTGATTTTTTCGTTAAGTCGGCCAAGGGTTCTCCACAAGTCCCTAAACTGTCGATTCAAAAACCGCCTTCTCAAAACCCTACCAATGAATCACTGGTTGAGATGAAAGGTAATACGAGTATTCCGCGCCTTAATGAACCGACGAAACCCTTACCTGTGTCTCCAGCATCTCCTAAGGCTCAACCAGAGCCCTCGGTGACAGTGGTCGACACCATACCCGTTGAAATTCGCGCAGAACTTGAAAATCTCCGCGCTGAGGTCAAGGATGTCACCGAGAAACTAGAAGTCATGAAAGCAAAGCGCGCCGAAGACCGCGTCAAGCTCAAGGAGGCGGAATCTCTGAAGATACAACTAGCCCAACTTGAAGAAAACCGCAAGTTAATGCAGGAGAAGTCTGCTGATCTGCAGCGCCAAGTCGCTCAAGCCAAAAGTGCAAGTTCCCCGTGGATAATTACTTTTTTTCTAAATTTGTTTCACTTTCTCGAAACTACCTCTGTTGATCTATAGGAGGCCGCTGAAAAGCAGGCAGCCTTCGATCGATACAGGGAGGAGATGAGTGACCTCACGGATACAGTTGAAATGGCCACTTTGGACAAAGAGATGGCTGAAGAAAAACTTGAATCTGTCAACATTGAATTAGAAAGCCTAAAGGAAAAGGTGGAGGAGCTTCTTCTGGAAAATCAAATCCTGAAAGAGGAGCAGGCTAATACGCGTAATTGCAACCATTCTTGCCTATACCCTGAATTTGGATTGATTCATCACGCTTACCTACTTAGACTAAAGTATAGTCCTAAGCATTTCATGTCTATGACGCTTGGGTCTGCAGTTTTTTGAGGTAATTGAATAATGTGTGGTGTATCGTGAGATTACTGCTAACCAGTTCTTGACTGCATTTTAATTTCATGTTGCTGGAGTCTGATTTTGATATCTGATTTAAACTACGTCCTGTGGCTTCATTGAATAAGGCTTGTTTAGGGAATTTGCTTGCGTTGTAGCGCTGCCATCTGGGGATGGTGAATCGACGGGAGGTCCAACCCTGGCACAAATGAAGCAGCTTGAACAGCAGAATGAACGCATGAAGATGGGCCTTGTTACGTTCCGAAACCTAGCCAACCAGGACAAGCAAGAGATCGCCTCTCTCACTAAGGAGGAAAGTTTTTTTTTATTTTGATCATTAACAATGAGCGATATTCCGGTTCTCTTCGTCACGCCTATGATATGATTGGCGTCTTGTCTTCTTACCCTAACTTTGAGTTGGCATGCTTTAAGGTAGGACTTGTGCCATCGGGATGTTGTTGATCATAAAATTTCTTTGGTTTCCAGTCAGCATGCAAAGCTGCCTTCTGATGCACATTAAAATAGTCATGGGTCTGCATGAGAGTAATATGATAATACTTTCGTCGACTTCATTCATCCTAACATATCTTTTACATTGTCACTTTCGTTTTTTTGCGATTCCAAAGCCCTTGTCAATTCGACTAGAGAGTAATAATGCTTATTGTAATTATGTGGATTCTTCTCTTTTTAAGTCAGTTATGCCTGCAGCACTGCACTGTTGATCTGTCTATGCGCAGAAACGCAACTTTGGTAACTAGTAGTTTCGGCTTAACTTCCCCGTGTATTCGTGTATTCTTGGTTTTCACTTGATCAGTGTTTCCTGGCATTCTCGTCGGTTTGTTAAAAAAGCCGGAACTATTTCCTTTGTTAATGGTTTCGTGTCGTGTCAGTGAAAGGGCTGGGGTTGTCATCTACTAAGAAGATCCCCTGCTTATTGCGTGGGTGATTTTATCGTTAAAAACCGCTACTGGAGAACTTTTTAGGCTCTTGATTGAGATTTCGCTTTGTCCCAATCCTTATTTTACCTGAAAAAAAAGTTGTGATCACTTTGTAACTCCAGACTTATTGATTACTCCCATTGTCTCCTCTAGGTTGCTGCCTTACAGTCCGAGGTTTCCTGTCTGAACACAGAGAAGGAGCGCCTGACCGAAGAACTTAAGCAGGCTCTGGAGCACACAATTGAACTGAAGGAACAAGTGGACGCTGCTCTCGGAGCCGACCAAATGGTCAGCGTTCTCACTCAAAAGAACCTCGAATTGGAGGATAAAGTGGAAAAACTCACTGAAGAGAGGAATGACTTGGTAAGCTTTAGTGATTCAACAATTTGATTGAAGTCGTTTTTAAACAACAGCGCATTAGTCGTTATGCAACAGTTCAACTCGTATCAGTTTTGGTAGATCTCTCTATTGCCTCCTGTTCTGTCAGACTGTTTTTTAGTTCTGTTGTATTACTTTCAAGTAGAATCCTCACACTACATAACGTTAACTTGTCTGGGGATCTAGTATTAACCCCTTTGTAAAGATTGTGCTTATGCTCAGTCTGGTACATGCTTTGGTAACAAGACCCAGAACGCCGGAGTAATAGCCAATATCTACCAAAAGGTCTTCCTATCAACTCGAATACTAATTCTCACATTTGGGCGGCATAGTCAAGATACATATCCCGCAATGATTTCTGCGAATTCACAGTCATCGTTCTGGCCTAGCAAATGGTACCTCAATGATATTTCACTTAGAAATGAGATAGTGAATTTATCAATAAGAATTACTTTCTTTGAAATCTTTATCTGTCGTCCGGATACACACAACAAACGTGCAGCTGTATAAGCCCGTATTCCCCCCCCTCCATTTAACTATTATCTCCATGTGATTTCTTGCCGGTGTGTTGATGCAAATCCCCTAGCCAGTAGCTGCAACCCTTTGTTTGGCACGTCGAAGGCTTCCCAGAATAAGAGAAGACCAGAGCTTGTGCGGAGAGCTTTACTGTCTGAACCAATGTAATTGAGCACAAGACGGGCCTAAAGCGGAAATCGAGTGGATGTTGTAATCGACGATGTGGCGTGACAGTAGAGTTGTGTAAAGCATAAATCACAGTGTTAATCTAATTGTCTTTGGAAATATTGACATCTCCAACACGCCAGTGCATCATTTCATGCCCTTAAACCCTGCATTTACTGCTTTTTGATTTCTACATTGATTTACATTTGCCCTTGCCACCTGCCTTTTCTTAGAGTTTTGAGCTCATTGTGAAAGGATTCCAGTTTTGTGATCTTGTTATGCCTTACAGTGTTGATGTTCTAAGACCTTCCGTTTCAGGAATCGCTGTGCGAAATGAACGACGAGCTTCTTGAGGGTGAACGCGAAAGGCAACTTGACTTGACGGAGCAAATCGAGCTCGCCCGGGGCCAGATACGCGAGCTGTTGCGTCAGCTGGAGGCTAACAAGGAGACAGTGGCTGACTACGAGTTGACAATATCCAAGTTCCGCGAAGTCGTTACTCAACTTCAGACGCAAAACACCCATCTCAACCAGTCCCTTGCTGACGCCCGTCGGACTGCAAGCTCCGCCAGCCTCGTTGCCATGGCTGCCGATCAGTCGGCTACCGCGGCTGAGGCGTCTGCGCTCATGCTTGGTCACATACCGGGACGGCAGCCGGAGGCACAGACCATCGCTAAGGTGACGCATCCGACTTTTCTGCTTATTATAACTGTTGAGGAATCCAAATGGCTGTGTAACGTGGCTGTGAAAACGAACTTCTCGTTGATTTGGTTTGGTTAGTACGCCAGCTAAGTAAATCGTTACCAAGGTTTCCCACGGGGCCCTCAGCTAAGCTCAATCGGTTGTCAGTTCCTAGCTCAATTTTTATGCAATATTCCACGTAGGCGTGTGGTTGGTTCTACATACAGAATTCATGTGCTGCCATCTAATAAAAACGTTTCCTAAGTACTCCGCATGCTTATGAACGTGTTTGGTCTAAAGGGCATTGTGTTAGTGATTTATGACGCGGAAGTAGCAACGTAGACCAATTAACTGATATTTTGTTTTCAACTTGTGTTAACTTTATTTTTGTCGGTGTACCTCACGATCGAGGGGTTCCGTCCGACCAGGTGCAACAAGGGGAAAATCCGAATGCCTGACTTAATCACTAACGCACATCCAGCCGCCAAACCCTCGATTCGAAAAATATGACTTGTAATCTCATGCAGCCTTCTTTACTGTGATAATGTAAACATTTCCAAGAGATCTGGATCTTTATCCGACAGAAACCCCACATTTCATAATTTATCCTCCCACTTTCCCATTTACCTTCATTGATGCCACTCTTTTGTAGGTAATTGAAACGGAACTGCGAAAGCTCGACGCCGAACAAGGTGCTCAACACGTGGAATGGCTCTCTGGCTTCTTGCCGGAATCCTTCAGTCGTCGTTCAGGCGATCATGATGCCATCCTTCTGCTGCTCCTTGTCAGTCGCCTTATTTTCAAGTGTGACCTTCTTGCGACTCAGGTACTTTTTTTTTCAACTAAATGTTGTTTATTTCATGTAGTCTGCACGCACAGTCATTTACTTTTTTTGAATTCGCTGCTCGAGGTCAATCCTTTTCTTCTGCTTTGTATGCCGTTTTCTGAAATATTAACTGTAAATTTTGCGACCCCTTACAGGTCTCGTCGGAATCTTTTTCGTTTCCGTGAAAAGGGGCAAATTTAATAGTTTATTTTAAAAACAAATAGCTGCATCTGGCATCTACTAGTTGTTCTGTCCCCACAGGTTCGGAAGCGCTACCCCCTGCCCACTTGTATTCGCGGTCTGGCCTCGACAACTGGATTACCTGCTTCAGTACCAGCCTCTCCATTGCCGGTCAAATTCACCACCGGAGGAGATGAAATTGATGAGGTGGACATCTTCAAAACGCAGGGTGAATTGGCCAGCTTCACATCGTTTCTTATTCTTCTCCTGCGGTACTGGCAAGGATTGCTGCTACAATTTAAAAGGTATCCGTTTGTAATCGGTACCGGGTCATTGGGCCAAAAGCGATCATCCCAACGTCTGATTGATAATAAATGAGGTTACCCTTTTTGTGCCATCTTGTAGTGTTCTGTCGTCGTGCTGCGTGAACCGTTTCTCGAAGCTCGTCACCCTCTACGGCGATTTGTCAATGGGCCACGAACAAACTCTTAACCACCTTCTAGACCTCTGCAAGCGTGACCAACTAGATGAGACGGTCTCCCTCGAAGATCTTGTATCCTCTGTTAATTTCTTTGTCAATGTCCACACAATCCACGTGATACCCGTGCTCCAGGCGAATCCGGATTCCATGGACTCCACCGAAATCATAAGCAGCTTTGCTCACATCGTTCTCGCTTGTTCAGAGGCCATCACTGTGGATGCCACTTGCCTAGCCGCGTTCACCGGTCTAGTACGTTGTTTTCCCGACTTCACTAGCACTGCTTCGGCTAATGTCGTGGATCAGCCACTTTATTTCTTGCACGGATGTGTGACTAAACCTCTATTACTGCTAGTGGTATATAGTAAGTGTTATTTCCTGGTTCCCGTCATGTCCCCATTTCAGTTTCCTCCTCCGCCGCTGCGGATGCCGTTCGGATTCCAAAGTCCCCAATCATATTCTCACTTATTGTAGGGCTCCCAGTTCATGTTTTGTGCACCTCGCAGAGAAAAAACTCTTGAGGCTGACTATGAAATTCTTCGCACTGCCATAACGGTTTATTTTGCTCTCTGAGTTTTTGAAACCCGCCCCTGTATCTGTTCATTCACATAGGCGCTATCCTTGTCAGAACATTTAGGGTGAGTTTGTTAAGTGAGCCGTGATAGTCCCCTGTAGATTTAAAATGGTAGATTTAGAATAATGAAGTATGTGCACGTTACGAATTTACTTGTGGTTACGTTTTGCTTCCTCGCACTTTAGCCGTTTGAGATTGTGGATTCTGAGGGCGAGGCGGATGTTGACGCCGGTCTGCCGAAACTCATCAATCAACTCGGACAAATGAGTTCCTCGATTCGCGCCAATGCCCGAAGCATTCGTCGCCGGTTGCCAAGCAACACGGAGGCTCAACCGCTCTGCCTCCCACCGAGTCAATCCTCCTGTCTTGACTTGGCGCTGCACAAACTTGTTATTTGCGCTCGCTGCCTCTTCGCCACTACCAAGAGCACTGGTCAGATGGTGGCCACTCAAATGGTTAGTAAAGCCATGCGAGTGTCGTTGGTGGCGCAGCGTGTACGGGTACTTGAAAAAAATAATCAGTACCTCACCAAATAACATTTGGATGCTCGACCAGTTGGCTCTTATTGTAAACGATACGCAAATTAAAGGTCGCATCTCAAGCCATTGCTTATTGTGTGATGCACTAGGAAATGAGCCAATGAAAACAGAAAGAGTTAAACTTACCTCGTTGGTGCGCTGGATGTGAGTGTGCTGAAAAGCACAAATCCCAAGGAAAAGGATTTGATATTATTAAGCTGGAATCTGTAAACTCGCCTAATCTTTCAGTAGCTTGCTTTAACCTCTCACTGCATTGATGGTATCTTGTTTCCTATTAGCTTCTGGCTTATAAGGTTGCGTAGAGGGAGACTAATTGAATCTTACCTTAAGAATCCTTGTCCAAACGTGCTTACAATTAAAAAATCAAGTTTTATATCGCATTCCTATTTGGGTTGTTCGGTGCCTGCAATTTCGATGTTGTCCAAACATTGTACATGCCTATTTACTACTCATTTTTACTTATAATTGTCTTCGGTATTAAACCACACGGATAGTGTGGTCAATCCCTTGGCGTTTTGTAAATTGATTTTGTAATGTCGATGTACCCCGCACTTTTGAGGCAACCGTTGCAAAACGTAGAACTTGATGCCTCAGCACAATTACTGCCCACGACCAGCAACGCGTTTTCGATCAGGAATTGGTTTTGTGTTCCTAAACATTATCTCTGTGACTACTCCTCCGATGTGAAATTCAGCAATCTAAAATTGTTTAGCAAATGCTAATCCTGATTTTCGTCTTCTATATAAGGAAGATTTTTTGATGGCATACTACAGCCTAAACGCCAGTTTCTTAATGCGTCTTCTGGTAAGCGTCCGTGTAAACTGGAGTAGATGTGCACGTAGGATCGGCCGAATCGACTCGGGACGCCATTTTGACGCCATTTTGAACTGAGGTTGTCCTGGTGAATTGCCGTCTTCCCCTTCCTTCTAATGCACCGCTTCCCAGATGAGGTTTTCTCCTATGCAGTCTTCGAAACCATGATTTGGGGAACTGCAAAATTTAGCGCTGTGTTGCCATCAACAGTGGCACTATTTAGTTTATCTGCTTAAATATTTGTTGCCGGTAAAATCAATGATACAGTTAGGTAGTAGTTAGTCCTGTTTTATGCGTTTACCATCCAAATATCGAAGTATTGCGCAAAATATAGTTGTATCATTTCGGTATTAAATTTTTCGTTAACTTCACCTGCTAGATTCATATTAATTTAGTTTTCCCATTTTCAATTTCCTCCCCCATGCGACAGTACTACGCCCACTCCCAAAGCTACAGGATCATCTCAGTTATTTCGTCTATGTTAGGGGTAATGAGGTCAAGAGTTAATTTTCCGGAACTTCTATGGAAAATACCATTCAATAGCAGGTTACTTCAGCAGTTGTCTTACATCATTTTTATTCCAATATGGTTGTATTCAGGCACAACCGAATTCCATGTTATCTTTTTACATATGATTTAAAGCGCCTGTGCTGTAAAACCTTGGTTGCTTATCATTAGTTGAATTCAGTGCTACATCCTCGTAAGTAACTGCAAGCCCCCCTTCCACGCATCGTTTGGCGTAGGTTGCTGTCAGGCTGCTGTACATATTGTTTGATGTCATCCTTCTCCTCGTTCCCACTAAGCAGGGCCTTATCAAGTCTGGTTTTCCGTCCCAACATAGGCCGAGCACACTTCACTGGACACCTCAGTCGTGCTCCGTGAGTGCCTCGTACCGTCCACGAAGATGGTTCTTTCAGAAACCGATATACCAGCTGGCAACACCACCCCAGTGGAATCGAGTCTCGTGGCCATCCTGGAAGGCGTCTCCAGACAGGTCTCGGCCACTGCCTCTGCTATGGAACACGGTGAATACGACTTCGATGGCACCAAGAAAGCTAAGGTGCGTCTCGTGAATTTAATAAATGTTTTGGTATGGACTCTATCACTTCAGAATCACTTTTAATTGTTGATTATTGCCCTTCCCTCCCTCCCAAAGCCGTCTTATACTCTATTTGTCTGGTCTGTAAGAGAATATTCGATTTCTTGGTAGAATTTTTGAATATGGTATATCCAATTGCTCCTTTAGTTGTTTCTTTAGGAGTGTTATTTAGGGATGTGTTGTGAAAACCGGTGGTGTGGTGTGCTTTTTTTCTGGAAAATCGCATGATTATTTTATGAGGAAACTATTTCTAGTAACTAGCGATTTCCATGTAACATTCGAGTGTCTACGTTGGCGGTTTGAGAGTGTTCTCAATTCAATCACAATGCAGAAATTAAAATGTGGAATATAATGACCAGTAATATTTGTGTAAATAACGACTAAAGTGGAACTTTCAACTTGTCTCTAAAGTAATTTCACCTCGAGTTGTAAAATGTGACTCCTATGACGACGTTTCACGAGCCATGATTGTATGGGCCCAACTAGAGATGACGCGACGCTTAATGAACACGCTAAACACACGCACCAATCACCGTCAGCGATGTCTGTTAAGTACAGAAAACAAGCAAGTCGGAACTTGGACTGCTCAAACAGGCCAATAGGGAATCGATAGTTTTGGGGTGTTTATTAGTATAAAAAGAAAGCAGGGGTTGTTGTGGAAGAAGAAAATCACGTTGGGTATGACCTGTTTGTTTGATTTTCCTATACCCCACCACGAAGGCATTACCTTTGTCTGCTTTGTAGGATGTATTCAAGACACACTTAAGACACACACTCCAGATTATTTGAACCCTTATTACTTGGTACTTCGCTAGCTAAGTGACTAAGTCTAATTCCAGTACCTGATTCACTGCTCCTCTTTGTGAAAGCCTCACATGAATATTGCTATATTTTTCGCACCCACTGTTTCTTTTACTATGCATGCCAGACAACATGCAGATAGCATTGTGTGCACGTTTAGTGTACTTCATTGACATCCGTCTTCTTGCACTTCCACTTAGATTATGTAAAATACCTGATGAGTGAGATTAATCCTGTCCTTCTTCTGGGAGTTAATCTACCGGGTTGATCCGACGTCGATCCTCTTTTTTTTGATTTTTTTCTTGCAATTATTCGAGATTTATCAACATTACTCGTTTGCCTCAAAACACCTACAAGCCGATGAATCGTCTTTTTGAAACCCATGTTTCACTGGTGTTCTGTGTCTATAACGCTCTTGTGCGAGGTGGGTCGGGTGCACCGGCTTGGTGAAAGAGCAGCCGCTTAGACTGGCGAATCCGCGTGTAGAATCCTCAAAAGCCTATGTCCCTAATTGCATGCCCTTTAAATATCCTTTGCGGTTTACATTATCCCAACAGAAACAAGAACCCATAGTGCTGCGTGCGGTTGCCTACAAACGAGCGCAATCAGATTTGGAGAGTTGCCGTGGGAAGTTGGAATTGAAAGAGGAGGAGGTGCGAGAGTTGCAGGTGGCGCTTAAGAAGCGCGCTGACGAGATCTCGGAATTGACGGTTCGCGTCAACATGGCCGAAAAGAAACTCGAGACCTCAGGCAAGGGCAATCTGGAGAAAATTATCCGTCTTGAACAGCGCCTCCAAATGATGGAAAACGAACAGAAACAGACCGAAAAGTATGTGATTTCTATCTTTTTTTTTTCACTTAAATGCTCGTGTTATGCTGACTGAATTACACTCGGTTTAGGGATTACGAACATGCAATCGATGCAATGAACAGTGATGTAGAGAAACTCAAAAAGGAGAATATTGACCTTAAGGAACGACTTCGAAAAATGAGCAAAAATGCTATTCATTTTGGCGTTGCGGAGTCGTCAAGTACGTGTCGCTTGTAGTTCTTCCATTATCTGTGTTTTTCTAAATTTATTATTTGTGGGTGCCTGTTCAGGTTCTTCTGCCGCCCAATCGTCAACAGACCAAACCCTGGACGTGAGTGGAACACCCACCGGTTCATCGCCAATGACCTTGACCTCGAAGCTGTCGGCTTACAAAGAAGCCTCGGTTTTGCTTAATGAGGTACACTTCTCAGCATCTGTAATTACACTATGAGAACTAGCACACACGATACATCTCCAAAGTAATTTGCACATTCGTCCCCTTAATTTTGGCTTTTGAGCATCCTACCTTCCAACACTTGGTTTATTTCCACGCGCAAACGTGGGTTGTCCGGAATTCAACCTAACAGCACATCTGTCAGCCCCACAAAAGGCCTCAACAAACAAGTGCCAAGACTGTGAACACCAGCATCGAATTTCCAGATTTTGAACGTATTAACGTCGAATACTTTTTCACTTTAGATCGAGGTGCTTCGTGAGGCACTGAAGTACGTATCGTCAGAGAACGTAAAACTTAAAGGTCGTAAATTCCATGTGAGTTTTCTTAGTTCTATTGTCTTCCCGCAGACGCTCACCGCAATCGTACGTTTTGTGCTGACTCTTCGGCTACTCACAATTTGTGCTCCATTCTTGCTACACACCTTTTGTCGTCAGAATTTGCCTATTTATTCACCAGCGGCCTTCAAGGTATCCGCCTTTGCTACATGGAACCTCAATACCTGGTGCTAAGCGCCTGGACTACTTTTGGCCTAAACTAACGCCTTGTACAAAGTGCTTGCTTCGTTTGGTTCAGACTGATTAAACTGAAAGACATTTGCTTGCATGAATTGGTATGGCGAATTTTTGTTAGAGGCAAACAAATACGTTTCCCCACACAACTTTTCCATACAGTTGGGCAGCATCGGCCGGTAGCTGCAAGGCTGTCATACCTGGTTTTGTTATTCCGTATAGGAGCAAGTTGCGGCACTCAGGCCCCTGCTCATTCCCCATCGTGGGTGCAAAGAAAAGACCCAAGCTGTTGATGAGGGCAAAGAGAATCAGTCTCCGACGCTAACCCAATTGACTCGTCAGCTGAAAGCGGCAGTGTCGCTGTATCACAATGTGCTCGCTACCACGAGCCTCGTAAAGCTGCCGTCCGGTGGCATCGCCAAGCCCAGTGAAACACCCGAAGCCCAACTTGCTTATCAAACTGAGCGCCTTGTTCAAGCCAAAAATGAACTGGAAAAGGTTTGTATTGGGCTTTCTAGTCCCCTGACTTTAAAGTGCTGTTCGAAGGATGACTTTGCTGCGGGACAGGAGACTGATATTGGTTTTCCTTGCCAACTGTTGATCACGACTTTCGGAGTTAACTTACCGTCAAATGTCCAATATCAACAGATTATTTAATTTCGCCATTGCATATTGGCCGAGGTACTTGACTATTTTTCACTCCTATTAGCTACTGACAGAATTTACGGAAGTCACTAGAATTGGTACTGTTCGAGTGCGATTTTCAATGGGTTTTGTGTTTGAGTTCCGTCCAGCGTGGGATAGGTGTTTAGATAATTTACTCAGCCTGAGACTTTCCAATTCCTTGAACATCCACACGGAGTCTAATTTATGTATGCTAATACTGTATTTGAATTCTAGGGTTGATCGAAATCAATCCTGCTTGTAAAAGTAGACGGCCTACCATAAGCCTATTTGTCTGAATAGAGTTGAAACATTTGGTACAACGGCCTGACAAGACCGACTCTCACAAACGTCGCCCCAAACAATGACATTCAGAGGAATGGTGATTTGTTGGATTTAATTGACACCGGTCCTACCAACTAATCCCCTAGCGCTCCTCTTTTACTTAGGCCCAAGAAGATCTTCTGTCATTTGCGATGTCGAAACCCGGGTATGGGGCTGTGAAGGCTGACTTCGCGACTTTCGCCTCATCTCGAACTGCACACAAGTTGGGCCTAGAGACGTCGTCGGATGGACGCTTGATAGGACGCATCACCGTTCCTCGCGGAGCCGACACCACTTCCGATGTGACCCAACGACTCTCCGTCTCCTCTGATGAACTGCGCGCCCTCATGTTGGCTCCGTTCCCACGCTAAGCTGAGCCTAATTGTGATAAATCCAAACATCACTGTTCTAATTTTACCCATTGTCCATCCAAACATTCGTGTCTTTGAATTAAAGAAGAAAAGCCAGAATGTAATATCTATACCACCAGTCTTTTGTTTAAAGATTTAGCTTCGATTGGTACAGCCTCGTCCCTTGACCTTACTCGACGAAACACCTAGGGAACTCGTTTGTGTCGATCGCTGTTTCGACTGTTTTACCTATCAGAAGCAATTGCAGATGCCGCATATTCTACCACTCATGTTTTGTTGCATTTTAGTTCATGTGAAGTTCAAAAACCGACTTGAATTGATCACCCAAAATTGCCCACAAGTACCACACAACGATCGTATGCTCTGCGCATGTTTTGGCAACTTTCAGTAGACTGAAGTGACCATGTTTTGGATAATTGAGGTATCTTTTATATGCGCCGAGTGGAACCTGAGTACTGTTCGAGGGGAAGGTTCTCTGCACAGGATGGTTTAAAATAGTCTATACAAAAGGAACAATCTCCTCATTTTAACGCCTTCAGAGTGGAAGCCCGCGACATTCGTGAGCGCGCGGATCCAGGCCTGGTTGAAGTCGTCCGAGCAGTCGTGCTTCGTCCACCTGTAACAGAAATCGGAGGTCTTAATGCACACTTAGCAATTAAGTTAAAAAAAAAGGCTCGTCGGTATATTTCATGAGTTCATGACTTTACCCTCGAATTATTCGCTAACGCACAAAACCTTCAGACCACACGAATTAGCTGTAGGAGTGATGTGGAGGGCGTACAAAACGAGTTCTAGATTTGTCAAAAGCAGGTTCCGATGCCTTTGCTTTACTTGGAGCTCTGGGCGTATGTGGCCTCTCCCGACATTCATGCTGATTTGTTAGACCTGAAACCTAACGAACATCGACGTTTCTGCTCTTATGTCAACAAAATCAAGTGGCTGTTGAAAAGTGCCATTAAATGTTTGTGTGACCTCCCAACAAACGACTATTGCCATTGAAAAAGAGGCAAGGTTTTAAGCGGCAACCAACCAGATGCGTGAAAGCTGTCGAGAGCCAACGATAGATGTGTCAAGTCGAGCATTGTAAATTCTTCGCCACCGTTAGGAGTCCCTCTTGAGCCGACTGCTTCGTATGTATCAAACGTGTACTTGATGGCTCGTCGCGAGCTAGAAGCTATGCTGTGACTCCCGGCAGTGGACTTTCGTACGCTGGAGGCTCCGTCTTCATCCAAACTATTACACACGGAGGGAGAGGATATGGAAGAAAGACGAAGGATATTTTTCTCGTGCTTGGGCCTCTTTCCAGGTTTCGCTTTCAGAGTTAATGGTGCATCTCCCAAGATCAGTCCTTTAGGAAACAGTTTCCAGGCCACCTACAATGGGGAGAATATTTTAATATGTTGAAACAGGTTCAAGTTGAGGAAATACCAGCAATCAGCAAACTGTGAAATTGTCCTGTTGAAATAAAAAAAGCGTTTGTTATAAATAGTCTATGAAAAGTCATTTAACCACAGATTTAGGCGTTGCGCAACGTTCCCATATAGGTTTTTGTTTTGCCTCTTAGTAGTTTAATGTTTTTGAATAGGCCCTAGATTTCAAAATACATAATTACGAATACTAAAGGTATCTACGGCAGAAAATTAATTTGCGTTGAAAACGCCAATTCCATTAAAGTGTTGACCATTTATAAAGGTTTAGCCACCCACCTTTAGACCGCCAGAGAGAACAAAGACGTTTTCGTACCCGCGCTCAGTGAGTATTGTGGCGACACGGGGAGCAAGCCGTTCATCCTCGTCATAACAAATGATTATGTGCCCAGGTTTGTTCCTATAAGCCAACATCTCTCGAGTTTCGAATGACATGCAGCGAGAAAGCATTGTGTGTGGATAACTAAGAGCTAGAAAACCAACAGATATATATGTAAAAAAAACCGGTAGAATGGTAGCCGAGCGGGCCTATCGCGTGCCTCAAAAGAGGTGCTATCACTTCCTTATTTCAATTAAAGTTAATCTGCGTGAGGCAAATCACTGTAGCGCAGACAACGCCCTACTCGTGTATAAAAATTAATGATCTAGTCACTACAAGACGAGGAAACATCAATCTGGCGATTAAACGAGGGATTTAACATCGCAGTATTACTAAGTTGATTGACGGCTATGTCACGTCGCAGTATTATCATAACGTACGCCGTTAAATTAACAGTAGATCTTAATGATAGGTATTATTTTTCAGTAACCTATGACTTCTGCAGTGCACATCGATGGAATAGTCCGCCCAATCAATATTCTTATGTGTCCTACCTTGAATTATATGGCATTGGTCGAATTCGTCCTTTTCTCGAACATCAAGTAAAAGGTAAGGGCGATCCATAGTGTCTATAATGCCAGACAGCGGTTGAAGACACGACTGGTTCTTCTGGTTCATGTCTAACTCGCCTATCCCCTTAATGACCCTTAATATATTGAAAATAATTAAAGAATATCACAACAGTCACTTGGTTAGGAGACAAAACAGACCGCGTGAGAACCACCTAACTATGATTATATTAAGGATCACCATACTGTTTGCAACACACAACATAGAAAGGCACGTATTTTCGATCGAGGGTCTATAGAGATAAACTACATATTAATATTGACAGTAGTCATGATTATAGGATTAAAACCTAGCTAGCCTGAAGGACATCAAAGGGGTTAGAATCCCTTGTAACATTTTTAGGAATTTTTACTTTTATTCGGAAACCTTTAGGGGGTTCAAGAAGCAAACTGATTCTAAAATTGCGCTCAACAAAATTTATTCTATAAGAGCGCATTCGGACCTAAATTAACTCCTGGAAAACGAAATTCAGAGATGAATCTTCAGTGTTAATTGCTCCAAAGAATCACGATGGTATATCAAATCTTATGGGCTTCAAAACAAGGTGTTGCTAGGTAAAAAATTAATAGAGGTCATATTAACTACACCTTTCAGCCAATAAAATATAAAAGTGGTAGAGAAACTTAAATAGTAAGCTTGTATACTGCCAGAATACTTACGACTCAAGAGTTGGTCTACTCGACATTAGAGCACATGAAGGAGGATCCACTGACGTACGCCCCTCTGATACTTGGGCCTTTTCTAGTTCCAAAAATTAATAAATCTATAAAAATATTAAGTAACCATCAGTGACACCACTCTCGTCATCTTGGCCATTTTGTGTGCCAATACCATTGACTTCGGCAACTTGTATCAAGAGCTGAACAAAAGTTGTCATTTTCATTCTTCGAAAAATCTCTCCCTGCTTTATTTTAAAATCTAGCTTGTAAATAAAATAAGGAGTTTACTTTCACTCGCATCATCCAATTTCTTAAGATAACTAGAAAGGCTTGCTCCAGTATCAACAGTAGGAATAACATCATTATAACGTGGATTCTTCGGTATTCGCTTTTGCAATGGCTATAAGTGATTCGAGTTAATTAGAACTTTACTATGTTACATCAATGGGTTTCTTCCTTGTAGCAGGCATGTTCCGTTACCAAGGCAGCGAACAATAATAATGGTCTTCGACTTCAGCGCTTTCTACCTGCCATATATTTTGAGACAACTAAACAATTTATTAACTAATAGTTGCCTTTATCTGAAGCCCTAATTAAGCAGTATAGTTAATAATCTTTGTCAAAAAAATAGAAGCGATGCTCTGAAGCATAGGCTCCCGTGTTAGGCTATCAATTTGCACAACATTGATGTCCACCAGGGAATTGCTGAAGGTTCCTACTTTTCACGGGCAAGCCGTTATCGTGACTAATTATTTAGGTTCCACTTGAACATTTCCTCATTAACTTAAGTTCATTGGCCTAGCTTTTTTCAATATGTAGCGTTCAAATTTGTGTTGATATAGCCGCAAGAAAGTAAAACAGACGAAAGGATCAATGAACTAAAGATTCATTTTCAAAAAAATTGTCATACAGTCGCACAGGATCTTGTTCGAATCCAGCTAAGTCACTCAGTTTTCATGTCTTTTAGTTTTCGGGCAAAAAATTTCACCAATTTAATTTTAAAATTTTGGACCACATTTAAATAATATGTATAGTTGTGATGGCCAGGTACAAAAACACCTATTAATTCATAATCAGTGATCTTCCAATATATTAGCTTTACTAAAGAAAAGACCCAGGTAAATCTATCTTAACGTTTTTTACCATTTCAAACGATTGTGCATCGGGCTTTAGTTAATGTCATTGAAACATTTCTGGAGCGACACTGGTAAGTCACGATTAACAAAATTGGACAATATAAACAGTTGGTTTTTTAAAAGATTTGCACTTTGGCTTGTGAAACACGAGAAGTCCAGCTTTATAATCCTATTAGCTTTTTTGGCACGTGATTGGATTTGCTTAATACGAGACTCCTGATCGCACCAAAATCAATGTCAACGTAACTCTCATAGCGAAGACTGCATTGTTATAAAATGATATGCAGGTAAGCAGGTGATAGTACTTTGCAGGCAACTAACAAATCCTTCTCGAATTGTCAATAGAAAGAATACTAAATAAAACTTTCTCGTGATAACAGTTTTAAAGTAGGATGTAAAATATGCTTTTAATAACTATTTTCCGGTATCACCACGAAATCGTATTTAAAAAACATTACTGCAGTCGTATTCTTTCCTGCTCCACTTCTCGTATACTCTTAAAAAATCAAGATGTTTTAGGACTTTATATTGGTGAGTAATGCGTCAACCACGAAATATTCAAGTTTTCTATCTAATGGTGCATTTGTGGTGGGGGCGTTTGCCAGACTCATTTAAACATAATGATTGGCCTACAACTGATATTTTCTCTTTAATACGAAAATCGAGGAGATAAGATGCAAAGATGGAAGCCCAATATGCAAAAATTGAAATAATTAAATGAAATTAGATTAATCTCTTAAAGTTGCTCTTGTTGTATTCATTGAGTAAATATTACGTCAAAAAATAATCAATTTTTCTTGTAAAATTAACTTGTTTGAAGCTATTGCCTGGTATTCGATAACGGTTTTAAATCCACGATATGGGTTACGGACTACGTTTTTGTAAAGCCACCAAAAATGAGAAATAAAATTGAAAACATAACATACTACACCGTAAACTGCCTTATTGTAAAACAAAATTGGGAAATCATTTTACAAACCTTTGCTTTAGCTTTCACTTTCCAGTGTAGTGCATAAGTTGATTCAGCAAAATACGTATTCAACAAGATAAGCTTATTTTGGTTATTTAGATGGATACCCCTAGAATGCAATAAGCACTCCAAAAAATGTAAATAATCTTGTGTGTATATAACAGCATATTACGTGTTAGATTTTTTTGAATTGCACATAGGTAAGATTTGTATTAATGTTAAGTTGATTTCTGGACTTTTGGTATTATAAAAATTGCTTTCATAGGAGCAATGATTTAGTTTGTATTTATACTTGCAATAAATGTTCATAAACCCAAATGCCTTGGTAAAAAAACCCAGCAGCATGTCGTAACAATTAATGCATCTCCCATTACTATTGACGGCCCGGATTTACATCTTGTTCAAACTGCTTCCGAAATTTCAGAAAATCGTTTTTTGAAGTAAAAGTATTTATAAACTTCTAAATTTATGTTGACTTACATTCGTTTAATCTTTTTTCCGAAGAAATAATTTATCCGAACCCTCATAACTCCTCAGGTCATTGAAAATTTCGTGCGCCCATTTTAACAAATAAGAAACTGAAATTTTAAATGCTAAATTAGAAGTAATTTAATGAAATTAGTTTTCTTATGAATTGCCTTGATAAATCACTTGGGACAATAATGGCACCAAATGCAAGAAATTGGTCAGTCAACCTCGATTTTTTCTTAAATAGCAATAAACCCCCATTGTCCTATTTAGCGGTTCCGTGATTTTAAAAATTTGTCCTATAGGTCCTTGCTTTTTTTTCTCAATTTCGGACCATTCTGTACAGTGCTTGGGAATGTTAAGCTTTCTTACCGGAACGTTAACAACATGGCTTTCTGTAAAATTATGTTATCAATTATTTTAAGTCTGTGTCAAGCACACCAGTGTAATGTCCTGGCATATGTTTATGGTATCTTTAGTCAAGAAAGTTAGATAAATCAAGGCCAACCTCGTACAACACAGCAATTTCAGGCACAGTAGCTCTGGCCTGTAGATGTGCTTTATGGTGTCCGCGTTACATATATTACAATTAAATTCCCACCCAGACACGAGAATACATGAGCCTGCCACTTGCAGTGCCTGCCTCCCACCGAAAACGCGGACAAAGTTCAATGCGGTAAGTGCAAAATAATCAAGAGGAAATGACCAGGTGTAACATTGTACTGAAAAAGAAAAAGTGAAAGACAACTCCAGACGACGTGCTTTAAACAAGAGCCAAGAAAGCGTATAATAAACAAATTAATGGAAAGTAAATGCGAAAATAAGCAAATACGACCAGAAAAATAACTTTACAGGACCAAGTCACAATTAAGTACACATCCAACGGCGTGGACATCACAGACACAATGAAACCTACGTAAACGTGCATGAACGGTGCTTAACTGGTTGGAATGAATGAAGGCGGGGTGAAACACAGGCGCGCAACAGCTACAGTCAATACAAATTCCCCTCAAAACACCTGCACAAGCGAATTCTTGAAAGTTAGCGTTCGAGAAAACGGTGGGAAGATGAAGGATTAGAAAACATCGTTGATGTTTTGTAGATGACGGATGTTTGCATCAAAAGGTAAGTTAAAATCCACTGAAGAAAGTTTGTTGAGAGACTGTAGTGCGTCGTCAAACCCTAGCAAAATTAATGACAAAGAATTAGTACACAACTACATGGAATACATCCAATACCAACTCTCATAACGTACTAGTAGAGGTTACATAGCTCCATGGGTGGTACATGTACTGTACAATGAGTGGGTTGCGCAGGACGAGCTTCAGCCAAGAAACCAATCTGTGCGAACTGAAACAAATAAAAACAACTGGAAATTAATCATTGCGGGACCGCAGCCAGAACTAAAGGCTGTCATAACCAGGATACATGAAGAAACAGAATGAATCGTAAGAGTTTCAACGATCTTTTAAACCAATGAAAAGGGCTAAAATGAAATAAGCTAAGTAAAGTAGTCAGCATGGCAATGTACAAGTATTTAATTTAGTTACATTGTACCCCAAAAAGATCGCTGTTTATTTTCAAGTCCGAGTTTTTGGTGAATAGTTACCAGTGAACACAATCCAAAACTATTTACTTGAAAGTAGAGAAATGTTGGAGAATTCATCATTTCCTCAGGGCTTTTCCTTACCTAGTTGAGGTTTTTTAACCATGGACACAAGTACCTCAGTTGCGTCGTAACATCTATAAGCCCCTCCCCCCGCCAGCAGCCCTATCAGTGTTAACTCATCTCGATCCACCCCACGTAAGGTCAAGGTTGTATTTATAAGTGTCACTCAGCCTTTGCGACAGGAAAACCTCGCTACACGAGGTAATGTCGCTGTCCTGACACCGGAATGTTAGGCCTAGGTTAGACAAGGGTATTGATTCGCTGGGCAAATCGTTACCAGCACGCTAAAACTGTTTTTCCTCTTTATTAATGCACACCCAACAGTTTGAGTTCGATTAGTAATAAATGCATTTACTTACTTGAGACCTATACAAACTAAGGCCTTGAACTGAGCGTCCTCACTTCGTTTGTATTTATTGAACTCCTGTAAAACTGTGCCTATCGAACTGAGTAGGTGCTAAAAGACAGCAGATAAATAAAGTCAAGGCATTTTTACAACAGTAGCACCTTTGTGTGTGTAAAATAGATGGGAGTCCGTGCCTAGCTTAATTAACTTGCAGTAGTTGTCAGGGTCCAATTTCTAAGTTGATGGCTTTGGAGGGCATGTCATTAAGGCTAATTAAGAAGGCTTTAGTTACCACCGTAATAGGCTCTGGCTACTGCTAAATGATGTGAGAGAAGTAGGAGAAAATTCCTTTGCATTTACAAAGGCGGATTCATGGTGATCCTCGTGTTCTCTTTAAGAGAGCACTTGGGTGAGTCACACAATGAACTTATAGAGATGATATAGTGTCGTCACGAACACATTCCAACAACTAACAGAAGTATGTAAAATTTCACATCATCTGAAAGCGTTTTTCACGCACCTGCTTCGTCGTGATTATTGTGCCCCCAATAATGTCCAATGAGAAGCTTTGAGATAATTTGCGAGCCGGTGTATCATTGAACGCTCGGCCATTCTGACAAAAATTTATAAGAAAAGGATGAAATTTGTAGTAATGCGTTCCATAGTCACTGTAAACTAATCAGAAAAGATTGCCTGTGGTAGTTAGATTAATAAGACAATTGTTAGCTAATTATTCCGAGCCAAACTAAAGCGGATCCAGGAGGAACGCCATGGTATATCACGACCGACAGGTACTCAACGTGGTGGAAGAAAGCCTTTGCTTGATCCCCACATGTGTCAACTTAATCGATGTGATTTGTAAATGCATAACACCCTCGTGCTGGCACCTGATTCGATAAGCGTCGCATGACCCACATGTTTGATCATCAAAAAAGTGATGAGTGAATGAAGAGACGTGTCGTTTTTCACCACTTTTCAGATTTTGAGGAAAGTCATCTCGGCAACTCATTCGGCGCTCTTTACCTTAACTTGAGTTGTTGGTTCTTTTTATAATAATATTGAGATGACCTTAAATCGGCTATAACGGACAACGAATAGAATTTCAAAAATGATATCCAACTATGTTGAACCAAATTGTTTAAAAACAAATATTGATACAATCGAACTTGCTCACGCAAATAAACATGCACTTGGTATTAAACGACCTAGGTTTATTCGATGTTATGATTTACTTGCAGAATACTAACTGCTGGTAAGGAAGTATCAGCTACAATCCGCCTCAATTAACTTTGATATAACATTAAAACGATACATGAAAACAAGGTTAATCGAGCACCCATTGGAAAATTACTTGAAAATTTCATGGTCATTTTTGTATTGATGCAATGTGACCAAATTTACTGTATATGCAAAAGTAAAAAACGGTCGCTTTTTGTCGAACAGTAATCTGATAAAGCGTCATGCCTGGTTCATTGGTTTGTAAAGAAATAAAAACCGAACATAGAAAGGTGAGTGGAGGAAAATAACACTGTGGCATTATTACATAAAAGGCTTCCCGATGTAGAACAGCATTTTTTAAACTCTGTGCACGAAGGTGGAGACAATCGGCCGTTTAAAAAGCAACTAACCGTCATGATGTAGTATTTGAGGAAGATGGTCCACGCCGAGCACTGGGCGTGTTTTTTACGAAGGATGCGAGCCTCAGTTTCCTCCTCGGATTCAATGTAATACCTGTCATCGTCTTCGCCTTCCTCATCATCATCAACGAGATTGTCGTGGTAACCTGGGCCGTGGAGACGGTTTCGAGAGAAGCATCCTAGAAAGGAGAGGATGGCCGCCAACCCTGAGGTCGCACCCTCGCCCACATGCACGTCCCTCGTTGCCGGCAGACGCGAGCCGTGCTCAATCAGGGCCCCAAGAGCAGGACAAAGTTGTTTGCTTACGACCAGGTAGAGCTCTCGTTCTGCTTTTGCGGAGTCCACCTGGAAAAGGAAACAGGGCGTAAGAACACGCTACTTCGAAGTAGAATGTAAAGCATTTTGGCTGAAGCAAAAATTGATAATTGCTTGGCTGGTGGTTTTACCTAGGTTTGACACGCTGCCCGTAAACAGTACGATTTTCAACAAACAATAACACACTCTTCGTGTTATAAACGTCTCAACACACTCGAAATTCCTTACAGACATTTTTGATTCCTTCAACATGCAACTGACAGGAATCGAGGTGACAAGCACTTGAAGCAAGGACAAACGTTCTAGGCATGGGTCAAAAGGCGCCCGAATCCACCTTCAGCAGATCATTTTGGCGAAAAGATAACCATTCAACGGGTGCCGATAGCACACTTCATCTATTGCCTTGTGCGTATAGCAGATCCTATGTATCCGATTCCGAATTATTATTAAATTTGAAAACAAACAAAACCATTTCGTTACCACTGAACAATGCCGCATCTGCATTTCAAATAATGGCTTACATTTTTGACTTTAGTTGTGAGATTGTGCAGTAAAATAGTGCCCCATTTACCTGTTATAGCTGATAGTTATTAGGGTTCGCTTACACCTGGGTCACGCCGTATTTAAACGAGTGAAAAAAACTATCTAATTTAGCAATTATTCGAGATTGATTTGTAGCATCTGCCCTGGTGCTCAACGTGCTGTGGTTTCAGGGAAATTAAAATCCATCTAGAGCCTGGTCAGGCTCTAAACAAATCAATGACTCAAAGACTTGCCGAACCTGTAAACCCAATCAAATCGAAGCCTTTTTTACCTAAAATCGGTCCTAGGAAATTAAACCTCTGAAAAAAATCCTGTCGGCTTCATGTGCCTGCATAACAGAGGTGCCTGAATTGCACTAACATATTCACACAATCGATAGTGCCTCTCATTATACATGCCATTAAGATGAAGACTGGTGAACAGTTTTGAGCAATTTTTATGCACAACCTACATCGTGGAGGTCTGTTATAAAACTGTCGGAATCCTCGGAAGAAGGGACAGCAGTGGATGATTGCGGGCTGTGGTGCTGTTGCTGTCGAACAAGGTGAAACCGTTGGGCCTTCTCTAGCACCGCATCTATGACTATCTCGAGGCGAGCTCGAACATCACCCCAGTGACGAGACTTCTCTGTATCTACATGGCTTTCATCTAAAGAACAATACGCAGGTGGGTTAAGCTACTGTAAAAAAGCAGAAAATACGGCATATTTTTGAGTCACAAATAAGCTTTGAGAGGCATCCACAGGATTTACTTGTAGGTGGGTATACGTGGGTACATTATAAACGAAGTAGCTTATTGATTCAGAATCCCTGTGGCTTCGAGAGGTCAAAATGCTACATAAGCCATATTCCATTAGGCAGAGGCATGAGTGCTATGGCATAGCATGTTCATCATACCGAATAAGTAGGGAAAGATAAGGGTTGTCCCGAAGTTGGAATGAAATTTTTCACACGAATGTAACAAATTGACTGAGCAAGAATGCAAACAGCTTAACAGATGATTTGGGCTGAACAAGCAACGACCGGCGCAGAACCTACTTTTCCGAGCAGCCGCAGTGTGTGCATACTTCATGGCCCGCACCTGTGCCTCAGCTCGCCGGCTCGCCAGTTGCGTGGTAACGAAGACCTGAAGAAGTGTGAGTGCTCGCGTAATCAGTCCGACTGTCTTCTGCGAAGAAAATGAATAAAAATAGAAAAATTGGCTCAATTCACCAGCTAGAATGACGGTTTTGTTTCTCCTGACACCTGACGACAAGTCACCAAAAGGGATTGTTTTCATTTGTGAACAGAAACATTACTGTCGAACCCACGCTCCAAGTGGTCAAATAGCAGGCGTAGGGGATTGTGTAACATTTAGGAGTTAACAAAATTATATCGAAACAGAGCAAATCGAATCCTAGAGCAAGGCAGAACTTAGAGGGGGCAGTTGCGACACGGGAAATTCGCGAGGAAACCTCAAGGGAAATTGAGCGAATTCAGAGAATACCACAATTTCGGCTTGCAAAATATCCACTTGTCGTGAATCAAGGTCAACCAGCAAACGTGTTCAGCCAATAGTGGCGTGTGAAGGTGGGGCTGCACATTTTGGCACATTTCTGTGCTAATTAATTGTACTAGTCTTAAACGGAGTCTTCGACTGGAACTTGAAGTAGATCGCGGACCCCTCAAAGCATGATTTGTGTGTGTGTGTGTGTGTGTAAATTCTCCTATGAATATTTTCTATTCGGTAATTCATGAGCCCAGCCGGCAACAGTTTGTCAAAAACGACAAGTAGTCAAGGTAAGACGGTACTTTAATGTCCTGACATTATTAATTCATTCGTCGTGATTACCTTGAAATTCGTATGACTTTACTAAAATAAACAACACGAGGTATGGCAAAAGAGGTTTTAACATCCTCCAAGATCCTTATTCCCTTAGTTCATCAATCGAACTGCACAGAAGAATACTGGCGACCCGTTAGCCCAACCTGCACAACGGACAAATTTTGAGTGAGTAAACTGCATCATTCTCACTTATGCTTATTCGTCTACGTGATACCAGTCTCGGTTAAACAATATGTAAAATGGTCCAAAGCGATGGTATAGTTACGTCGGTAGAAAGTAAATTGATTGAGTGGTCTGGTACAGATAGGCTAAAGAGAAGATAGATTTGGAAAGTAAACTTGCGCTCAAGTCGTCAGTCTCTGGTAGCATCTCTGGAGAACAGAGCAGTCTCAAGTTAACTATTCTACACACGTGGTACGTACGTCTTAACTTAAACAGCATAGCACAGTTTTGTTTAAAAAGGGGAAAACAATACATACACTTTAAAACAAGAAAAGTATAGTAGCTACAGGGATGCTTCGTGCTTTAACTTTTACGAGGCTAAATGTGGTACAAGCTCATGTTCCCACCACCACACAAGCTTGTCAGGTAGAAACGCATGCTTAATGACTCAACACCACCGCGAGGCGACTGTGGCGTCGATGCGGTGTTGCCAATCCGGTTCGTTCAAGGGGAGTAAAGAAACGCCCCAAAACAAGTTTTAGACACATCCGAATGCCGCCAACCCACGGTGACTCCTTTAAGCTCCAGCGAATATTGATCCTATTATTGCGTCGTTTGTTGTCATCTCCGAGGCATTGCAAGCACTAATGCCCGAAAATGATTGTGTGCGTGCGTCAAACTATGACACCCGTGAAGGTGTTTTACCTGAGTGAATTTACCTGGTAGGTAAGGCTGAAGTGATTAGTGCTTGCTAACCTATTCGCCCCCTACAGCTGCACTTTGAAGAGAGCATCCTCGCATCTGACACTCGTGAGATCTACCTTTATTCCGCCAGAGCCCGCCCCGCACACTAAAAACTTGTAATCATAGGGTGCGTGTGTTTTCTGACATTTCTACAAGTTATACCTGGGAATTGTTATGACCTTGAAAACATCACAACTGTAAAAATACCCGACATAGTAAAACAGATGGTCTGAATCAAAACATGTAAATTCAAACCAAAGTTAAGGATGTTTAAAGATGGTGGAAGGTCGTCATCCAGACGTTTATCTTAACCAGCTGGACACACACCCAACTAAGGGATTGTGATCAGATCATAAGTAGCTAAAGTGATCAAGGATTCTCTATGGAATCTGAATTGTCACAACGTTAAAATGATATTTTGGCAAGCATTAATCTTGAGTTGGTATTTTTAGGATTCAACCACATAAAGCGTTGGCACATGTTCTGTAGTAGATAAATGCTGATATCCCCAACAAGAAAAACTATGCTGATTGATGGGGTGAGACGTGGGCACCTTTAGGACGATGATGTGGGTGCTAAGCTCAACAACCCTCGCAGTGAAGTTGCGATCAGCTCAGCAGTAAGAACAATTCCAAGGGGGAATGGTCGTTTCGGCCTTGTGGCTTCAAAGGAAAAGGGGAACAGTGTAAAGATTATTCCAGTGAAAATGTCCATCACCAACATGAATGCTCCGCTGGATGTGTTGATAACTAGGATGAAAGCTCTGTGCTAAAATATATCGTAATGAGTTAATCCAGTGTACTGTTCGTCTTAAGGGAAAATGTGATTTCAAGAACAAGTGCCTGTCTGCATGAAAGCAAAGCTGGTTGGATTTGATGCAAATTAATAGCGGAAGAATACCACCCCCCAGGGGTTTTTCAGATGAGCACTCTTTATGGCACATTGTTACTAATTACAACTACCATATACGTAGTTTGGGGCGTGAAAACAGGAGCTTTGCCAATCGCTCAACACCAGAAAGGCATTTACTGCCTTGCCCAAAAAAACGCATTAGCTTAAACTTGAGTCCGTTTGGTCGGCTGTAGGGACAACGCAAATCGACTGGTTATGAAAGCACGTGATCATCCAGCGTGGCGAGAAGGCGGGAAGCACGCCTCATCACCGCCCCCACGCTAAAGGGATTAAAATATTCCCGTTTGCTTTTACTGCTACGGCCTCGTTGCCAAAATAACCGGCCCAGCAGAGGAGCTGGATTAATTATAGTGGAATAATTAGGACACAACTTTAACTACTAAATACCAGAACCCTGAAATCTCTTAATTTACTCGTGGTAAATATACATGATTGAAGCTAGGGTGTGAACTTGTTACAGATGATTAATAATTATCAATAAAGTCGGCTTACCTGATCCCGAAGCCGACCGATAGGTTTACCACCGTAGAATTCCCATTGATTGCACGATTTCTGGAATTTGAAGTAAATATTGAACTAAATTATTACATGACCGCAAGTACGACAAAAAATATAGTCGCAGCCGGAAGTTCTTTAGTTTTGGGAATTACCAGAGCAATAAGGGGAAACGTGGATGTAGAAGTCGACGTCTTGTCTTAAACTGAAAGATTTCGGAGAAAAAACTGGTTATTTGGAAAGAAGAATCGAATATGTCAGACAGACGGGGTGGGCAGTGCCAAGAATCACACGACAGCACACGAATGCATAGGAAATAAGCAACACAACGCACACACCGCAGGCCCTGAGTAATCGAAGTAAAAAAAAACCCACAGCTCAAGTTTACGCATTCCACAGAGGTGAGTGAATTCCGACTTAAGATTAAACTTTCAGGGGCGATTAGGTGAAAACAAAGTCAAACATCCAAAGTCTGGAAAGCGGATATTGAGATAAGGCAACCGAATATAAGTGAAATTTTTAGCAGCCAGTCGACAGCAACAACAAGCTATTTACGTGTTTCGTGTCCAACAACAACGAAATAATTGGAGTATTAATGGTAGTCTGGTTGTGTTTCCATAAAACTCAGACGGTAAGGAAGATAAGGCTATCTTTAAGTTGAAATCTTCTTAACACACATAGCTTTACCAGTTCCATAGAAGTAGATAGCATTCTGCCAATTTGATTGATCAGTTGAAAGTTGATCAAAAGAAAAGTGAGCCGATACAGATTAAAGGAAAGTTTAGCACAAAAAATGGATCTGGAAGAAAGCTTAACACCAGAACGCAACCAAAATTAGTTCATTATTTTCGCTTTCCAACTGAAAGGTGAAACATAGAAATAAATAATCTCGGAAACAGGTTTGGACCTGTGGAGTTTTATAATTATTTGCACAATTGGAAAAAGGCACCGCTGGTAATGGCAGTAAAGAGTGTAGAGTTACCTACACGTGCCTAGTTAAATGAAGGCTACTAGTAGATGGTAATTAAATTAGGTAACGTCTAAATAACACAAGGCCACAGTGACAACAACTGAGAAGGGGCTGTTAGTGTGCTATTCCAGGGCGACTACCTGATTAGATTTTGGGTGGACCGGTTGTCGACGGCGAGACAGACCTATGTGGAATCCACCCTCGTCGATTCCAAGTTCATCGCCCTCCAGTTGCTGAGTTGTTGAAGCTGTTCTGGAACGGCGTTCCTGTTGGTACCGCCTGAAAGCCTCGAGGGCCTTCCCGATTGCGGAATCGGGTGCACCTTCGTCTGCAAGCGAACTATTCAGGCTTAAAAGGCATTCACGTCTCGGGCAATAGCTTCCAGAGGTGGAGTCGACAAATCAAATGAACTTTCACCACGTCAACTGCTACAAACTTATGGCTACCAATACATCACACTATTTTTAGCCTAATTCGGAGGCGGGCACACTAGGCTTCGTTGAGGAACGAAAAACCCTCTAACAACGCATAAAACAAATGAATGGAAATCGAATGATGCGAAAGGAGAGTATGTGGTAACCAGATAAGGTCAAATCAAAGCGTTACTCATCGTGAGCTCTGTGGGGACGGGAGAATGAATGCTAAGATTGAGAAAGATTTGGATGGTTTATGCTCGTCAGAGATATCGAAAAGAATAACAAAATGGTTAGATCCTTGAGATATGGCGCATCGACCACCTATTTGTGTTGGTTTACGAAAAGGTAAAAATTAATCTTTTCTATTGACAGCAGGTAGAATGTGGTTGTTGGGTTTAGATAAAACTCTAACGGGTGTGATATTATTTATGTTTAAAGAATTGCATTAGTACTTTGCATAAAAACTTATTTTATTAACTAAGAGATGTTTGCCTGGTTTCTACCTAACAATCGAGTGTCTAATTTAGCGGTTTAAGAATATTTTTTTCGACGTTTTTACAATGCAGGAATTAAAATGTGGGGCATAACAACCAGTGATATTTGTGTAAACAACGACTAAAATGGAACTTTCAACTTGTCTCTAGAGTAATTTCACCTCGAGTTGTAAAATGTGACTCCTATGACGACGATTCACGAGCCATGATTGTATGGGCATAACTAGAGATGACGCGACGCTTAATGAACACGTTGAACACAAGCACCAATCACCGTCAGCGATGCTCTTTAAATACAGAAGGAAAGCAAGTCGAAGCTTGGGTTACTCACAGGCTAAGTTTAAACAGGCCAATGGAAAATCGGGTTAGGTGTGAGCTGATTGGCCACCAAAATCATGGCTTCAATTTATCCTGTGTTGGCTAACTGAACAGTGGTCACTTCCTAAATGCTGTGAATTTCTATTGCTTTAAAGGTGGCGATCAGTTCAAGGGGTTTATTGGAAATATTTTAAACCACTTCGTCACTTTTAAGTAAGGAGATTTGATAAGCTGCCTCAAAAATGACGAGAAGTTGCGACGAGTAAATATTAAGATAAGGTCAATTGCAGTGTCGTTTAATGACAAAAAAATCGGCTAATCTAGAATGTTCAAATACTCAAGGTAAGAATATCGAAAAAGGTAATTAGACTAACCATGAAGAAATTCAATAAACCGTTCTAGGTCCGTTATCTGAGTTTTCAGTTGATTAACTAAAGCTTCCTTGGTCTTGATTGGGTTTGTAAGCTAAAATTACAAAAAGAAACGACGTAGAATGCCGCATCACGTTTGACCCGATCGTTTCCCAAATAGCATGTTTCCAGACGTCCTGATTAACGAAATATATAGAACACAAATACCATGAATCAATTTCGATAGGCCTTCTGTAGTTTAAATTTTCCAAAAATCGACACAAAATGCTTGCTTCAGTTTAGTTTTAATTAAATTTTTGAATAAATTCTTCACTTTTAAGCACCCCGAGGTTTTGGTAGAATTTAAAGACAAGCAGCTTTTGTTGTCTTAGGTCTTAGAGTTTATTCGTGGCCAGAACGAGGTAATGGGACACCGCATTCAAATAGATGCCGCCTCTTCAAGCCTCACAGATTCCTGCAAGCTGATATGCTACGTGCCAGAGCCGTTGCTTTCTTGGTTCAGATTGACAGCGAACAAAGTAACCAAGAAAACTTAAAGGGCAAGATGCTGATTTAATCACCTCATAGCTGTCGCAAGACAGTTCAAAATGCAGATGTTGATGAATGTCATGCAACTAATTAGGTTCTTCATGTCTTGCAAGGCAGATGTCAAAACAGGACACCTCTAATTTAAAGCTCGAGCATTTTTAATATTTCATGCAAAGTAGGATCGTGGAAATACTTTTACACAAAACGTATTAACCACGAATTGGCTTTAAGCTCTTTCTTTAAATCCTGTTATGCTGCGCATAACGGCCTTCAAATGTCACTTCAATCGAGGAATGTGTGTGTCGTAATTTGCTGAAGTGGGTGTGCCCTAGATTTCCACAAAACACAGTCCTTCAAGCCTTTACTCGTAAATGAAAAAGCAGCTAACTAACCTGAGTCACGCCGGCATTGACTTTTTCTTTTATCTCTTCTTCAGTCATTGATGGGATCTCAGAAACATTGAGGCCCAGTTTGTTGCCGAGTTCTTCCAATACAAGTCTCTGTTTTTCCAGAACATTCAGAGTTGGCGGTTGCTGAATTTCACCACTCTATGAAACAATTATGAACGTGCAAATTCAGAGCAACATTGAAATTAACCTTTTTTTTGTTTTTTTTGCCCACATCACATACAAAAAACTCATGTGATACCATATCTACAATAGATCGATTGTTTTAGTTCCTGAATAAGTACTATTTTTATGCATGATCTTGGAAATCCTCCGATACAAATATGGGATCTAGATATAGTGCTTGCAGGAGCCAACAGCTAAACAACTCATTTCTACTGACAAAGTTCCTACGGGTCCATCAACCATCCCTGCACTCTACAAGCCACGCTGGTAGTTGGCGAGACACATTGGAAGATGGCATAAATAAGCTCGTCTGGTGATCTTAAGGTTCTATTTTAATTGTAAAACAGAAGAGAATCAGTCTCGCACATTTGTTGTGTCAAAAGGCCTTCAACTAAAAATAATTTCGTTACAGAGCACCAAAACATTATAATTGTCAATTATACATATGTAGATAGGCTTTGAAATTAAACATACTTCAATGAACTTAGTCAGCAATCAAAACCTTACTAGAAACATCGCTAACTCTTGTTATATATATATATATAACTTTTATTTTAGATTGAAACAAATTTAGTCGGACCATTTTGCAGATATATTTTTAAAATGAAGAACTTTCTGGAAAAAACTGTTCTAATTGCTTTTGAGAAACCAAGACAAACCAATAAAAGGATTCAAAAACTGTATTACTAGATAAATAAACTATTTTACGTCTGTTAAGAAATGCAAATAAGCACAACTATTAAAATTAAGTCTACAAATTTGGGGTTTGGGAATTTGGTAGTGGAAGAACGAAAACCTACCCTGTATGCGAACTGTTCCAAATCATGCAGCTGAGCCTTCAGTTGTTCGATGATAATTGCCATGTGCCTTTTTTGGCACTCTTCTTGGGATTCTTTGTCCACGTTTTGAGACTAGCCAGAGAAATGTGAATCGGAAGTGTTTCAATAGGCAACGTGTTAAGTAACTCATTTTAGTAACGCTCAGTACCTGGCAAACTGAATTGTTTAATCGCAGTAAGTGTAAGTCTGGCACACCTTTCCACGCAAATTGTTCGAGATCCCTGAGAAGAGCTTCCTTCTGCTCTGGATCAGCTTGAAGAACTTGTTCAAGGCGGAATTGAACCTGCCGATAATAAATGTAAACTTGTTTAGTATTTAAACCACCTCATTAAAAAAGTAATGGTTAAAAATCGTTTTGCAGTAGTTAGTGGAAGGACGGCTACAAAATTATCAAATTTAAAACAGAGATCTGCGAAAGGGACAAACTATGTGGTAATAGCCATGGCGAGTCACATTACCCACGAAGGATTACAGGAGTTACACGTTAAAGAGTAAATGAAACGTTCAAAACAGTAAAACAGTAAAACAAAACAGTAAATGTCTAAAATCAACCGACGTATGTAAGACTAGCGAGACAGTACAGAATAAGTATGGAACAGTTTCAATAACAATTTAAAGATTGAAATATTATTTCGATTACTAGATATCCATGTGCAAAAAATAAGAACCCTTAACCATTAAACCATTTTTCAAATATGTAAAGCCAAAATTGACACTCTTCTATATAGTAAATCCTTATTTTATGGGGGAAAAATTAAAGGAGCTCTAAGGAAGAAGTTTGCAATGGACTCGAGTAATTAAAATTCACACCTGAGCAAAGTGGGAGGTAAGAGATAGCAATGAAGAATTCAACAGTTCGTGTTCCTCGACAATACTCTGGAGCTTATTTGTTGATACACTATCGGATGCAGACAGGTTATCTTCCCAGCTAAGATCAGGACTATCATTGGCCCCAAGTGGAGCCCATCGTTCCAAAGGTTTGCCTTCCTCATCGACTGGCGCTTTTGGATTTAAAACGGTCGCATTTTCAAAGTCAGCAAAAGACTCCATCAGCCCCTCACAGCTCCTACTTCGATATCTCTACCGTAAAGCGGAGCCAATGCCCGACGTTAAGCGGTTGGACTGCTTTGGGCTAGGCCATAGGCTTCAAAAATAGCCCAGTAAAACTCTTGTGATAAATCTAAACGTCTGAACACGCATACACATATTTTTAATAATGTTCATAGATTTCGGTTACCTATTTTAAAAATTTTTAAGCCTAACATTTGATCCAGATTACGTTTATTTAAGCATTTGACGACTCACCCGTAAACATTTTGATGATCATTTGTGGATTATTTACTGTCGGGTAAAGAGTGCCAAAGAAAGTATACATGATTGTAGTACTTTGTGCGTTATTTGCTTTTAATTCCACTGAGGTTTTTTTGTAGAATCAATATTGTTGTTTTAAAGTGTTTGTTCTCTTTTTAAGTGGAAACTAAGGATGTTAAGTATTCCCTGTGAATTTGCTCCTGTAACCTCATTATACATAAATTTTCTATCAGTCTTAAATGGTCGACTCTTAAATAAACTCATGTTATATATTAATTTTCGTTTTCAACGTCCTTTAGTAATGAACCATTTATGCCCAAATCATTTCTTTGACTAATCTGTGAATAGCCAAGCGCCTATCACGCGGCTTTGCCACAAGACTATTCGTTCGACATTTGAAGTTCTTGCTTACTCATCCAGTGTGCAGGTACTGCGTCATTTGGAGATCTCAGGGACATTTGGATGACATGAGTGTTAATATATTCGGACAACGCTTAGATGATAGAAACGTTACTTGTAAAACCTCATGCAACTTTGATAGGCCATTTTGAATCAATAAACATCCCAGATGAGGGATTCGTTGGCCAGGACCAATGTATGGGAGAAGTATTGTGGGGATTAACGGTGGTTTATTGGCAGCTGGGGCAGAAAAGTACTAGGTCAGTGATTCTTTTTTCCACTTGTGATATAAATTAATATTGTGATTTGTAAACCTAAAATAATAGTAAATACTTCTAGCCAGTTATTAGCCTAAATTGGTTGCTATAAATATGTCTGTGAAAAGGATAACTTCAGAGACCGGCATGAATCCATCAGAGCCTTCTTCCTGCCATTTGGAAGCATTTGAAGGTATATGGCTCTGATGCTCTGGCTGAAGCCTAAACTGCGACAATCATTGATGGACCTGGATCGTAGTGACATAAAATGATGTCCAAACCAAGTAGTACTTCAAGTTGGCGGATCTCTAAGGCCTAGTGGAATCAGACTAAATGCGCATCACTTTGTAACAAACCGTTAGTGGTGGTTTAACAAAATTTTAAACAAAGACAGGGTATTAAACATTCATGGGCATCTCTGGTAGTTGGATGGCGCGGACATTCTCGGAATATCGATAACAGCTAAGTGTACCAAAGCCAAAACCAACATATATGACCGACTTCGGAAATAACTGGCCCTTTTTTCAAGGAATCCGAAGACTATTGTCGTGAATCCACTGGCGGACCCCATCGATTGACTTATATAATTCATCCGGCGATCCGGCTTCAATTAGTAGATCGCAGAAGTATGCGAATACACCATGAATACCGGACAATATGACATGCCTCTGATGTTGAAAAACAGCCGAAAACGTCTTAACTCGGGAGGGTATGTGGTTCTGTTGGTGATTATATTGTGGATGGATCCTGGTCAAATTGAGTTCGGTAAAGCATTTGCCGCTGCGCAGTGTTGTAAGAGTGTCTTCAGCGGCTGGAAGATGATGGTGGTGTTATTGTAAGTCTGGTGTAAAGCTGGAGGAGATATCAGTCCCAACGCGGATTGAGTCATGTGTTTTTCTTTTAACGACTATTTACGCCACCCAAGGAGGAGAGTGACATTAAGAAAATAACACCTTAAAACTTAAGGCAACTGGAGATTGGCTTCGACCATCGGTAACGATTCATGGAATCGAATTCTCCATTTAAGACATTCGAATGCGTTTGGGACTTCCGACTAGGAAGCGACCCGTGGTTCGATAGGAATATTTCATGCTGACTCATAATATCCGTGTCTTTTGTTATGGTTGGTAGCTGCACATGAATAAATCATCAAGATCAGCTCCGTCAAAGACCACTTTTGAAGACACAAAGTCATCAGACAAACATTTCACATGGTATCCTGTTTTATACAATAAATTTTCAGACATCAACGTTAAAAGCCTCACCAGAACAAATGAACACCGAACGCACGTTAATGTGCCTCCCACTCATTCAAAAATGTTATAACCGCAAACGAACACTCCACCAGATCGATTGGAAGTAGAGGCGCTGTCGACGTCTTCAAGTATGATAGGTGCCGGGAAAATCAGATTGCTGGGAGACAATATCTTTGTTAGCACAGATCGTCCCTAACCATGTCAATCCACTTTACTTCGCAAGCAAACGCATTGGGCGTATAAACTTAGTTCAAGAGTTGAGACCCGTGTTTTGACTAGGGAATATATAAATTCGGTTCTCAGGGCTCATTGTTAGTTAAGGGTAGACGTAAAATTGCTAGCCTTTTTTATGCATTTAGAGAAGCTTTATTTAGCTTACCCAATTGAGTATATCCAAGACGCACCAAATTTCATTTTATTGTATTACTTTCTGATTACCGCTTTTCAGTGATGTGAAAACATTAAAACAAGGTGCAAGTATACACTAGAAGAAATTCGTCACAAGTGTTCGCATATGTTGAAGAGTTCAAACCTAAATTTTGGTTGGTAATGTTCAAATATCTAACATTTTGAGAACTTGACAGGGGTATATCTGTGGAAGAATTTTTAAAAGTGTGATTAAACAGGTTTGACATGTGAGGTTATCAGCTGTGGTGTAAAGTAAAAAGTTAATTTTTAACTATTTTTTTAAAAAAAAATAGGCCAGGATATTCCCAGAAGTCTGATAAATAAAATATCTGCGATGAAATCACAGTTGTCAGTCTCCAAGTGATTAATTTATGTCTCATTCCTAAAAAAATGCTATCCCCACTTATTAACAAAGCGCAGTAACATGAGTGAAGTTTTCGTACTATCCAATATCTTGTTACTTCTGTTAGTTTTGCTAATATACATTCTCATCCCGTCATGCATTTTACACAGCAGCACTAAGGTAAATTAAAGCCAAAGGAGTTTTGCTTGAAACAGTCCTTTTTGGTTTATTTAAAACCCTGAGTAACTTCCAATCAGAAGATGTCATTGCAAGTGCTCATTAGACAGAGTGGGATCGTTTGGTTATTATTAGTATCATTATTTAAAATTTTAATAATGCAAACACAAATACTGTATTACAATAAGGACTACCATGGCCTTTTCCCGAACTAGCGCCAAGGCCCAAGTAATTCCCATTGCTTGAATCTTGGTGCATTCATTTACGCCCCAAATGCCATCACATTGCGTTCGTCGTCACGTGCTGATGCCTTAGCGTTGCCATGCATTATGCATGAGTCGAGTGCTCACTCGTTCGCTTCCCTCTCGTCGTCTCCCCCCTCCCCTCCCCTCTCCCCTTTTTGCTCCCACGCTGTGTGTACTCGAAATGTCCACCGATGCCACTAGATAGGCACCTTTCCCTTGGTTTCAGGAGATCCTTTTAAACATTTCTGGGTACTGAGCATGTTTCATCTGCTGAAGGTGTGAGAAAAAATAATTCATTTGTGGTTGTTTTAGTTCTAGTTTCCTTTGAGAATGTGGCACAAACATGAGTAGCCACGAGGGCGTGTGTGGCATAGCAAAAACGCTCACACACAGGTGAACTCTCAGGTCTGACTGTAAGAGGAGGCTTACGCGAAAATGGGAGCAACATAAGTCACAACATTTACGCTTCCATTAGCCTTGTAGCAGGGAATGATACTGTTGAGAATAGCATGAACCAACGCACACAGGCGTATTCTGACAGTAAATGGCCTGAAATTCGTGAATAGCCTTCTCGCTCCAACTTCAGATCGTCATTGTTTCCAACCATATCCATCAACATTGATGAAACAATGTGCACTCAGGTTCAGAGCATCCCCTTCATTGAAATGTACAATCAAAAGAGTCCAAAAGGGGTTCTCATCTAGGGGTTGCATCCACATAAATGCCAATAGTTGTCAAAAGGTCAGATGAACACATGGTTTGTTGTTCTCTGGTTAGCGTGAAAGGCCAGTTCTTCAGAGCAGGTAGCTTGTCACCTTCAAATGTGACTCGATGAGGAATTTTGTAGTGTTCAAATTTTAACAATCACTTGTGCCGTCTATGGCATGGCTAACTGTATTAATATTGAACCAAGGTGAGCCACTGGGAAGCACATGTATAACTGCACACAACCGAAAGGATTCCTTACGAAATATACCGGCCTATATTAAATGTTCTAAATTTTATATGCTGCAAGCAGAGCAAATGACACAGTGATCTAGTTCAGGTATTCTATATACACAAGCGTCTCTGCGCATTAGTGCTGAACGAAAACGCAGAATATTACACTGAACCGAAAGATTAAGGAGCCACAAAATCGTTTTCGCTTGGCTCGAAAATCAAGCATTCTGAAACCACGTTTTTTTTATTTTTGCACAAATTCTTATGATATTTCACAGCCATGTATTCAACTACTATGAGTTTATTTTAAGCGCGACGAATCTTCCCTTTCTGTGATATCGTTAGTACCGAGGGAGACTACTTAAGTCTTCTCTCATAGTATATTTCAAGATTTCATAGGATTCTTTGTGTTTCAGGAGCTAATAACATATTTATGCAAGCCTGGCAAACCTAATGTGTTTTTTAACCTATGCATCCGAATTCTGCCCGTGTTGAGATTCCTTCTAATCATTAATGTTTGTCATAGCAGCCATCAACTTGGAATGACCTGCGCATGTTCCTCCTCCGCTTCTACTACTAATACTACTGGTGCTGCTGCTGCTGCCAATCCTACTACCACTACTACTGCCACCACCACATTAAAATCCCCAGTCTGAAAAACGTAAGAAATAGTGGCAATACTTGATTTTAATTGTTAAGGGTACCCACAAAGATCTGAAAGATTCTGATCTGTCATGAGCCTAACCTCACAAACAATTAGTTCACTAAACAAAGGCTTCTTTGTCATTCTCAACATATTCGTGTTTAAACTTGTGCATATGTTTGAACGCATGTAATGCTTTTCGTTTGTACGCTTTAGTTGTATGGTGCATCATTCCGTTAATTCTGGAGCCTGCTAGGCCACTCCACACCACATGGCACAAATCCACGATGAAAACGCATGCATTCGACTTGGATATTGAACTCACCAAAGTTTTCGTTTAGTAAATGAAACATTAAATTAGTGAGTGGGTTTACCTTCGTATTCCTCGAGCCCGTCGAATTGGAGTTACCCTGGGGAGAGCGTAAATCGATTTCGTGTCTTTTAGAGTAAAAAGTAAACCAATGACTATGACCGGCTGTTTTTATTTCTCAACTTGAGATGCTGTCGGTTGCCTTTCGCTTTACATCTATCAACTCTCATTGCGTCCTTTTACAGTGTAGTCAACCTGCCATAGTGTTAGAGGTTGTTGTACATTACGCGCGTAATACCCAAATGAATTTCATGGTTGAAGGCACAATTACCGGTGCATTAAAGGACTGTTGCTTACTCTGCCTTTTTGTTTGCTCCACTCAGAGAAGTACAACTGACACCCTTTGACCTACGGTCTGTAAGATGAGGGCTATTATCTTGTATTCATGAGGCCTGCTGTCCCAGAATCCCTGATTTGGACAAAGAAACTGCATTATCGACTCGGTTTACAAAACTGCTTGTTGCAAATCACCAGACACGAGTCTGTTTGGACATAGTTGTGTTAACTCAGAAAAAAATGATCTAACAAATCACCAAAATTTCTCTCGGGCTTGCATAGAATGCGTATAGGCACATTAAAATGTTGTATTTTCATAGGTATGCAAGAGATCTAAAGCTCGAGCACGAGCTACACTGCGCATGTTTACACCACATATGAAGCATAAAAAAGACAAGGTAGAAACCGCAGTCCGGGTAGTTTGGGGAACTACATTACATCCCGTTCACTTGGTGCAACAATCCAACCGTCGAGAACTTCATTCGCTTCTGTTTCTGTCTCTGGTTGCAGAACCAGACGCGCACCACATTCTTCTTGAGATTCAATTTTTCAGCTATCTGGGCAATCTTTTCACTTGAGGGTCTTGGTTGGATTCCGAAGAACGCCTCCAGAGATCGCTTCTCGGGATCTGTTATGGAGGTGCGCTTCCTCTTCTTGTCGTCCTCGTCTGGGTCGTAGGCATTGGGGTTTTTTTGTCGCGCCGCAGCCTCCTGCTCCGCTTCGTCCAGCCAGGCTTGCAAGATCGGTTTTAGAGCGAGCATATTGTTGTGGCTCAGGGTAAGCGACTCAAAACGACAAATGGTGGACTGCGAGAAAGAGCCGACACCGGCTAGATTGAGACGGCCCAGGGCCTTGCCTACGTCCGCCTGTGTCACCCCTAGTTTGATTCTGCGCTGCTTAAATCGCTCCGCGAAGGCCTCCAGTTCTTGGGGATCACAGTCAACTGCCGTGACAGACAGTCTATGCGCCTCTACTTTGTGTCTGAACGTAGCGTCCTGTACTGTTGTGTATCGAGAAGACGTAAAAAAGAAGTCCTTCGTGTCCTGCATTCCCCCTCCATAGCCCGGATAGACGGCTGCCGCCGCAGCGCCCGGCATGCGATAGCTCCCGTCCCCATAGAAGCGATTCATATCGAGCAGGCGTGCGTCGTCATCGCTAACACCCGAGCTGCCGCTCCACTCCAGCTTCGCTGGACCGATGACAGGCGGCCAAAGACCCGTTGTGAGGTATCGCGGAAGGGCACGCATTGGGTCGACAAGACACAGGCCACTTTGCAATTCACCTCCGGTCTCTGGGTAAGCAGACGGTGCCGAGGGAGGAATGCAACACCCAGGGCAGGCCGGCGCGTCCCCACCATTACTGGTTGTTTGTGGGAAAGAAGCCTCATCGTTAACTCGTGGTGACGTAGGAGTGCCACCGCCAATTCCCGCGGTCTCATCAAACTGCGGGTAGTAGGCGGTGGCTGTGGCTACTGCAGAGGTAGCTGAGTGATTAGCATCAGCCCATTCCTGGAAGTATTGCTGCTGGTATCTGTTTTGCTGTTGGTGGTGCTGATGAAATATGGCTGCGGCCTTGCTAGGCGACGCCGACTGTGGTGGAGTTGCTGGCTTTTGAGTCTCGCCCTGTGCACTGTGCGCAGGAGGCCAGTTGTTGAAGGCTTCAGTTGTTGGCTGTAGAACCTCATCAGCAGCTCTTGGATACCATTGCTGAACGCTACTCGCGGCACTGGCGTCCCAGACGTTGAAGCCCTGTTGTCGGTGAACCGGTTGGACAGTCGTTTTCCCCGCACCTTCACTGCTGAGCCCTCCATTGGACTCAAACTTCAAATTTACCGTCGCCTGGTAGCTCTGGTAACTACTCTGGAAACCTTCGTCGGGGTGCTTGCTGGCGGATTCTGCGCCAACTGTATCTTCAACCGTCCGCACCAGTTTATAAAGGGGATTCGAGACTGACCGGTAGATGTGGTCTGCGAGAAAGGAATAGCCGCGCATTAGACTCCCTGTCTGTTGTAGTTGGTCGCTGCTTGTCTGGTCAGAAACGTGTTCTCGTTGGGACGGGTACATGGAATGTTGTAGACTGGGAATGTGGTCTTTGGGGAATTTGCCGCTAGTTGTGGCCACTTGCAGAGGACGTTCTGTTGTCATCTCGAATACACTAGGTGTTCATCAAAAGGGATTTAAGATACTAATTTCCTTTAAAATGACAAAACACTTGAGTCAGTAATCGTCATCGAAAAGATAAGCACGTTTCTTAGTGTGGGTCTCAGTTCTTTAATGAGATCATATTTAGCTGTTCAAGTCTACATTTCTCTACAGAACCATTCAACTTTGTCCGTCTCACAATATCAGAATTGCTTACACCAAATTGGACAAGAGAAAAGGGTTTTTGCCTTTGAACGACATCATGTGCTTTTACAAACGGCACCAACATCTTACAGGTAACATTTAAGAATAGTCGTGATTATGCCAACTTTTTATGTATATGGTACTTGTGCTTATGCTGGCAAATCAAAGCAGGCGATATTAAGGAGATGCGTGCAACGTCTCGTAACGAATATAGTGTTACTAGGTGCTTTGTGTAAGAAATTAAACTTGTTTGTAGGCAAGATTAATTCAGAATTCGGCACATGTCGGATTCTAAAATGTAATTGTCCTTGCTAATTGGTTGGGCTTAGATCTTGTCCAGAAACAGGTATGCTTAGCCACTGACCAATTTTTTGTTGTTAAGGTACATGACTGGTGAATCGAGTAAAATATGCGGAATCAGTAAGCTTACCTTTACCAGTGTCACTTCGCATTCCCAAATCCAAATGCTTTGATCAGCCTGCTGGAACTAGTTTGCTGTAGCAGAGAAGTTAATGCTCAAACCACCAAGTAGGTTTTAATAATGTACAAGGCTTAAGATCCTTTATTAACAATTCTGTGCGTAGAGCGATAAATATTGGATACGTTCACGCGAAGACAGTGCACTCAAGCGGGGCAGGACTGCTGACCAATCAACTGAGTGCGCGTACATGAGAGTGAAGTTCGCGCGACTCATTCATTGGCCGGTCACCCCCTTAAACTAAAAAAGCTAGTGGGTTAGCCAATGAGCAGAAATATGGAATCAATGAAGGAGACGAAAGGAGGGCGTGCAGCGATGCATGAGCCGGTGAAACGGTGGTTAATTTTTGAACACTTTCACTTCACTTACCATGAAAACTGCTTGAGTCAAGACTAAAGTATGCATGTGCAGCCAGCTTATGAGATGATTGTGACGATGATGATGTCAATTTCAACAACAAACTTAGATGTGAGCGTTAGATTCTTAGAGATAACCAAATCTAGCACATCGTCCACCAACGTTTACTTTTCTTCAGATGGCCAGAGTGATGCAGACACCAGAAAGAACTGCACGAGTGAAAGTGTTCGCAATAAAAGTTGCTTCTTGTCAAATATGTCCAGATTTTCACGAAACACCTCTTCAAAGTGGACCTACAATGAATGCGAAATCAAATAAACTGTTATTCGATGAAGCCAGAAGGGCTGCTAAATCAGACGATGGCGAACCCACCGGAATTTAACATTTATCGAGGTTGAGCTACGGTCCTGTCAACCATTGTGTCATTTCAACAAACTGAGCAGTCAGATTGTCTTGAATTTAAACATGAAGCCTACTGGTTGCAAGATGCATCAAACCAAAAGTCGCAACGCCAATTTGCTGCCTTTTGCTTGGTCTCTCATCCAAAGCACATATTATAGCACAGGTTGAGCAGATGAAGTGGAGAAAATTTGTGCCTTGAATTGAGCATCGCTCAAAAAGGGCAACTCACGCGGGGATAGAATCAGGACTTTTTGAAAGGGACAAAATTAAGCCCCTTTCTACACAAAGCACATTTCCTCTCCGTTCTTAGTGATGGTTTGAGATTGACGTGGATTTCAACCGCTAAGTGCCGCAACAATTAGTTCCCGAGAACTCTGCCCTGTCATCCGGTACAGCACAAACTCAGGCGCTTCAGTTGGGATCATGGTTATAGCAAATGTAGGCACTTTGAACATGAGAGCTGGTGTACCATTACTGGGTACCTAAACATCTGCTGATGCATTGTAAGCCTTAAGGAAACCAAATTCTTCATAAGCTAATGCTTCGGAGGTAGTATGTTAGGCAGATATTCATCCAAGTGAAAGCTGTGATTGAGATTTACCAGGAATTCTCCGGTCCCTTACATAACACTTTTAGTTTATCACGCTTTACAAGTATGTGAAGCTTGGTAGGTAGAGAAGCCGTGAAAAGAAAAGAAAAGCAATTGGCTCCATGGGAGAAGCAAATTTTGAATCAAAATACGGTGGATATGTAGATGCTCCGTTCCCCGAAAAAAGGTATCTTTCAGCTAGATAAATAAAAGCACTAAAGAGATCCGTTGCGTGGATGGAGGCGATAGGCGAAATTGCCTAATATTTTGAGCTCGAGTCGATCGGATGAAACAATGTAGTCAAATTGCAAAAGAAATGGTTTGCTTGACAATCCGTGTATCGGCGCTTTTCAAAAAGGCCATCCAAACCCACAACCAAGGACATACCAAGCTTGCAGACTTATGAACCCAGCAAAACTTGCACAGAGAGTTGGTCCGCCGAAGAGTTGGGTTGTTCATGTCCGAAACAATGAGACAGTTCCTAGACGGTCATGACCGAATTTGAAAGTGTCATCTATCATTCGCATGTGTAGAGTAATATTTGTGGTCTTACATAGCGTTGCGGCAGTTTGTAAGTGGGGATTTTAAATAAATCAGACTTGGTTTGGGGGTTCAGTAAAATTCGGCTTTTCAGAACTCAACCAAATAGGTTACGTGACGGTGGTGGCGGTGTCTTTTAGACTGTATCACCGTGGATGTGAAAAATCGGACCAGTTTGTTTAATAAAAAAACTACTCAAGCAAGAGTTCTTTAAAATCTTGGCTTACTCCGGACTTTTATGTGAAAAAGAATGCTAGTTCAGGTAGTGCTGACGCAACCTGAACTGTTAATGAGCTGTGCATACAGTTCGCGAAGTCTGTTGTTCACTTTATTGCTATTACTTTGTGCAAGAAGCATAAACATTTCTGAGACAGGGCTGTTTAGATTGTAAATCCGTAAGGGAGCAAACATACTGACTATCTGTCACAGAGTGCGGAGTTGAAAGACACCACCTACCCCTTTCCTCACCGCCACCACCACCACCACCCACCACGCGCACACGCAACCTGATCAAAGATTCATTAGGTGATAATTATTTTCCCTCCTTTCTCCTGCCTGGCATCATCTACCAGTCTTACCCCATGGGATGAAGACGCTGCTCACCCCACCTCCTCCACCAATCACTTCTCCTCCGACACAGAGCCTCAGCCTGCGTTTTTTCCCCATTGGTGCTGGAGCGTGCTGCTGCTGCCGCATGAAATATTCATGGGAGTGCGCGAGTAAGGGGAGCGAACGGAGACAGTGTGGAGGTGAGGCCACGGCCGCTGAGTGGAGGGGGGAAATGGGATGGCGCGGAGAGGGGGGGGTGGGGGCCTGACGGCTGCTTGTCTGGCATATCACGCACACACACGCGCACACATACAAATAAGGAGTCACAGAAGTTGTTCTCGTAGGAGTGAGTCCACACCGAGTTAGTGCAAGTGTACTGTAGGAGCATCTCATTAGAACAGTAATTATACAGAACAGGACAGTTCCTGTCACTGAGTATGACCTCCTGGGGTGGGCACAGGTTAGCAATAGACGTAAACGCCATCAATATCGAACAGTTGGGTCGTGATTCGTGTCTGCTAAAACAGGCATGAGTTCGACGTTCAAGTCAGTGACTGAGTACCGCTCGAGTCACCGTTTAGGAAGTTCTTTGACACAGTCGAGTTGGCACTGCACGGCCGCGGCGCCACTCTACCGGGAATCCCACCAATCGGACGCCTGATCCCATCCAGCCTAGAAGCGAAAGTAGCTAAACACATGCCCTACTCGCACTGTTCAACCTCTCGTCATCCCATGACTTGTAAATATCATTTGAAACACGAGATTGGGACACAAGGCTTCGTGTTTTAAGTGACGAGATACAGGTACCGAATGACGGTCTGCTTCCTTCGAAAATGGCAGGCTCCAGCAAAGCAGATCTACACATTATTTAATTTAGCACGAGGCACTGCCTTTCGAATACATGCCCTAAGCTTGAAAAAAGTTACAATGATAAAAATAATCCACTGATTTCATAAATTATAAAAGAGTATATGCTTAAGTGATAATGAGGTCCAGAGGAAACATGTTGAAATTTACAATTACAAACAACAACAGGTATACAACAGGCGTTATTTCTACCACCAGTATGCATTCAGCAGATTCAAAACCATAATTCCTTAGAACAGTACGGTAGACGTGCCAGGGCCAAGAATGATGAGTGCAAAACCGATCCCAAAAGAAACAGCTTCAAAATTATCGTCGTGCAAATGAACAGCGCTCTAGTGCGAAACAACGAGTAGCTTGTTTGCCCTTGGTGTTAATCGAGTATGTCAAGTTTCTATAGGTCCACACTGTGTAAAGCACCTGTCAACCTCTCTTAATGCAAGTCGCATGGCTTAGCATTCAAAACACTACCTCAACGAAAAAATACCAACGCAATACAATTTCATCACCTTTCCATGTGCACTGCTCAAGGAGGTTCAGGACGTTGTCTTTCGTCAGCGAAATTGAGCACGGGGGCAGTCGCGGTGGTGGGGGGAGGGTGAGAGGAGAAGGGGGTCACCCTGGAACGGGGTGTCGAATCCGCACCATCCTTGGGAGGGAGCCGCCCGCGACCCCGCCGACGTCGTGCGGCTCCGTGTGCGTGGCTGTGGAGATTTGGATCCTGTGCGCGCGCGTGTGCGTGTTCAGCTGTGCGTGGAATCTGCATAATTCAAACGCCAGTGCACAACTGCAATTGGCTGTTTTCTCTAGCTCCAGTAACGCCGGTAGGTGGTTTAGCACTTTTTTGAACAAGTGCATTAATGAACTAAGCCAACCCGACGTCCTAATAAGTCACCAACTTCGTTTGATAAAGGCTACTAACCAAATCACTCGCTGGTTGCTCTTGTCCCTAGGTATTGTGCTTCCAACAAAGCTGAAATGGATTTTAAGTCATGAAAATAAAAAAAATCTAGACGTGTGAAGGCCGTGGAACGTGCATTTTTGTCGTTACCGAGGCCCCTTCTCGGTCAATTTAATAACTGTCAAGTGAAATGAAAAGCAAAATGGCACAGCTGCTGGGTTGCTGTTTACTCCAAATTGTAGTAAATGTTAAAATCAACTTTGTACCATTTATAAAGATACAAATATCTCTTTGTTATTTCTCATTCGTTCATTTGAATCTATAACCAGATACAAAAGCCAAGATTTCTAAAAATGCTTTCGTATCGCTCGAACTGCAATTATCGTAGAAGTTCAATGCTGCCGGACAATGTTTAACTTTAGATTCGAAAGTTTGCGTAGCTCGTAAGTGATAATAAATGATCAAATTATTTTATAGGTGAGTAAATATAAAGCAACGTATACGAAGCGTGCCCGATTCGAAAGAACACAGCTTGCCACGAGGTGGTCATCAGCAGAAGGTGAGTGATATCACTCAGACACAGTCAAAAAGACCAGGGATGACGAAAACGATTGTCTAAGAGGCATGACGTAGCTGTGTTAGATGCGTAATTGGGCCTAAAAACGTGTCTAGCTAAATGGGGTTGTCGATCAATACGGTCTGGGTGAAACTGCAAAAGTACAAATGGCTGAACGGTCAAATGAATGAAACGGGTAGTGTGGGGGGGGGGGCTACACGCACACAGGGGTGTATAAGCACACCGCTTCCCAAGATCGATTGGGACGGTGTGAAAAGGGGGCCAGTGTGGCGGAGACTGCTACGACCGAGTTAACGGCCGTGAATCAGCACGATTTACCCAAGGTTTGTAGACCTCTCAATGAGTCTTGAGCGGGATAGCACCACTACTAGCTGGTTAGCTTTACACCAAGGCATTTTTGGTCTGGGGCCTGAGTGAACCGCCTCCGAGTTAGGTCGGTGCCCAAGCAAGTCGTCAGTTCTCATGAATATGATTTACTGGTCCTTTAGAGCTTAAACTTGCGCCTTTCTATCACGATTGCTTTACTTTAAACCACCCTATTCACACCCTTCACCTCAAGTGCCTCGGCCGGATGCCTAAGCACCTTTTTCCGGTAAAACACCAAACTCCACATGTTTGTAAAACTGTATTCAACAAATTCTAGAACCCTAAAGAAATGCCCTCACAGCAAAGCTACAAGGCAGCTTTCTTCAGGGTGTGAAAATTGTGCAATTTTTAGTCCGCGCAAATATGTCTATGTCGTCAGTGGTGAAGTTAGACGGAATGGAAACAAAGGTGCCGTTGGCGTGCAGGCAGTAAGAGCCGAAAACGTCAGACAGAGGGAGAGACAGTTTGAGCGTTAGACCGCAGACGAACACGAGAAGCATGCTGAATGTGAGGAGGCCTCGTGAAACGAGGATGCGGAAGGGTAGATGACGGCTGTGTCCGTTCTCCACGGCATGCTCAGTCACGCTGGGGTCTGCCAATAATAAAGCACAGTGCAAAACTAAAGAAACTGGAATCTTAAAAAAATACTCAAGGCCATCAGACGACGCAGAGGCTGTCTCATCATGCTCGACTTAAGATCTGGCACAAACATCCCAACGACACACTCAATCAAGATCACAATAACTTTGCATCTAGCTTTGTCCCATGTTTTACCATTCTAGGTTAATTGCAACGCTATTCAACTCATACACTAACAGTAAGTGTCCCTATTTGTTGTACACATTTATTGTTTACTCTACGTATTGTTGTAGTACTTATTGTTTTGAATCACCTGTATAAAGCGTTCAACGTTCCGAATTGCCTTTGCTGTTCTTCTTCTGTTGTTATTTACAGTTAGTGTGGACCGAACTTCATGCATGTTAAATTGACGGATTATTAATATAAGAAAGAGGGGTTGGATCAAATTAGTGGGACGCATTTAACACGATTGAAACCAGTTGGAATAAAGCTAAGTGAACGAGCCAATAGAACGGTCTATTACCACGAGAGTTCATTGAATTAAAGTAGGTTTCTGATTCGTTTATCCCTGCCATGGGTGAAATAGCAGAAGTGGTGTCTTGGTTTTTGAACTCCACAAGACACCACATTCCACAGTACTAAATAAATCAGTGCGCGGCAGATTGGTAAAGGCGCTTAACTTGGATTTGCGCCACATTAGTGAGACAAGTTTCGTGGGGGTTTAAATTTTGACTTTTTTCATTTAATCATGGAACTGAGTCCATGCTTTGAACACAGACAACTATTTGTCTCTGTCGCGTTCCCCAAACAGTACTTAGTAATCTTAATTCGTTTCTTAAAAATAAAAAACTATCCAAAAATCGAAGATGACTTATCGATTTTATCAACTACAGGAAACGATTCTCCATAATACCCAGAAAGGCTCAGACTGATCTGCGAACATAACCAACATCTGTGGAATGCATTTACCTGAATAATTCTCCCTGAGCTCATTTTTTTCGTCAACAGAGATGTCCGCGTCATCTGAGATAGTCTGAACAATATCCGTCTGGTCATCATGTGACTCGTTTTTACGCGTACTTGTTCGTTCAGCTGCCTAAATTTAGGTAAAAAGAAGGCAATGCTTCAATAACCAGTGTGCTCTAAGGCGAAAGGACGCAATTTGACCTAAGGGGACTCTAAAATGGAACGTGTAACCAGAGTTGGTGAGGTTTGCGGGGCAATGCCTCATTGGATACATTTGAATCACGCCTTTGGCGACCCATCCAGCTGAAAATGTTACATGCTTTAGGCATAGACTTTTTAAAGCCAAGGTAATTAAATGCTTGGTTTATTGTTGGTGGGCTTCCCGTGAAAATGGCATTAGTAGTGCTCCGAAAGGGTGTAACACGGTGTGAGCTGTCTTCTGGAGACATACGGGCTCACATGCAACATTCCACTCCCCACTACACAAGTTAGGATTTCCTTCTTGAAGCTGAACCTCACCAGTAAATAGAGCAGTACATGCATCTACCATGACATCGCAATGGCTTAAACAATTTCGTTGAAATGTGTGAATTGGAATATACCAGAACGGTTTGCTGTTGCCAATTGGTGCGCAGAAGGACAATGAGGTACACGGAGGACATCGCAAAAAGCCCGCTCACGAAGCCAACCCAAAGGCCTGAAAGAAAGCAGTGCATCGTACAACCACCGGATGAAAAACAGCCAAATTTCAAGTTACGAAAAACATACCCATGAGTTTCAGTGGCGTTGAGAGAAGAAGCCAAAATCCTAGGGGTCCCGAAAAGAGGTAGAGGCAAACGAAAACAATCAGGGCACCCACTGGTTGGAGTCCCGCGCCGCGAAAGGCCCCGCCCATAACACCCTAGGCAAGCGAAAAACCCAATCAGTTAGGTGCCTTATTAACCTGTCCTTTTAAAACAACCGATCACATACCACAGCACCTTCGAAAATCAGAAAGACGCTGAGGAGGGGTAAACATTGAGCTGCTCTGGAAATCACTCCTCTTAAAATACAAAACATAAGCAGAAATCGGTACTGTTGTGCATTTAAGTAGGTGTTTAATTATACAAACACTTACGGGTCGGAAGTAAAAATCTTCGGCACGTGCCACCGAAGGACAACAAGTAGGATCGCAACCGTCACCATACCACTAGCTATAAATGGACAACGGGCCTGATATCCACGACATAAAAACTGAGCACACGCACGTGCCTACAACCACGGACTTACTGGTAAGAAGCAGTCCAGCGAAAATGGTGGAAGGTGGGGCTGAGGCCTTGCCCGCTCCGAGACTTTGGCCAACTATTATGCTGCACGCTACCCCCAGGCCTACAGAAAGCTAAAATCCAAATGGCAACTGGTGATTGGCCAGCTCTGAAAGCGATCATACACAGAAATATCGTTCCAAATTTGGATAGGGATGTTTGAGAAAGTCTTTAATAAAGTCTATTACTGATAAAATATGCATGCTGTTATGCTTATGCGGCTATTTAATTGATTAATAATGTGTGAAAGGGCAAATAAAGCCTGAAGGGTATAAGCTCTGGCTCATGGTTTTGTTCTGCGGAAATGAAAGCATGCTGTTTTACCAACTGAACTTGCAGTGAATTGTGTTAACTCAAGGTCGAAATCTCGGTCGATGCGTGTCTGTGTGTCGTTCCGGCTCTGCCCTCGCCCAGGGCCGATATCGCTCGTGCGGACTCGTTTTATCATGCACTCTGTACCTCTTACCACGCATCTTGTCATTCAAACATTTACCATTTCGATAGTTCATCTGATAAGTCCAGGAAATCAATTGTGATACTCACTAGTTGGTATATAACCTGATTGAGGTTGATAAGAAGTGCCTGTGTTGCCAACTCAGTCACTCCGACTGTGCCTAAAATTGCAAAATACAAACGCGTAGATACTGTTTAATTACTTTTAAGTCGACACGCAGTCGAGCAGCGAACGTCAACCAAAGAGGGCAGATGTCAACATAGCATTAATTCAGCTTTACCAAAACAGATAAAACAAATTGTTTAAAAAATTCAATTATCGGCTACAGTAAGACATATTTGAATTAAGGAAACTGAGCCGTATCGAGCTCGGCATATGTAATTTCGGATTACAGTCTCAGGTACTTAGCAGACGAACTAGTTGCATCATCTCGAATTCTCTACTAACACTTTTTACGAGTGTTCAAAGTGTTGAAACATCAAAGGCAAACTGTGCTACAGAATTTACTGCATTTAGTATTATAGAGGCGGCAGCTCAAGAAATAGAAGCCACTCTCAGTGATATTTGACTTTTAATCCGGGGAGTTGATCTGGAAGCTGGGACCATTTGGAACATTTACGTTGATTTAACTTAAGGAGGCTGTCAGAACTGTTGTGAATTTGATTTCGGCGAAAATCGGTACAATTAATTCAGTGCGATGGCCATGTGCAAGTGAGGGAAAACCACGATGCATGAATTTGGACCCATGCTCAAAGTTAAGTTGGGGTGGCCTGGGGTGAATTTCCCTGTTGAGGAAAAAGGTGGTCAGAGCACCGAGTAAGAAGTTCATAAAGGCAGTATTGCAGCAAGACCTCACCGACAAGAATGAGTCCAAGTTCAAAGTACCACCACTTCAGCGCTATCATGGCGAGACCAGGAATGCCGAGTTTCAGCCAGTTCCCCCAGTCATACCACATTTCGTGGCTAAAACCTTTTGGTGAATAAAGAAAAATTAGGGAATTTATAAAAAAAAGATTATGAAACATTGCGGGTAATGCTACGGAGGCTTTTGGTGATTTCGAACAGTAATATCATAGATTTGATGTAGTAATTCTCGAGTTGATATCATCGGTCCCTTTAGATTTCATTAAAAACGAAGAGTTTAGAGACGATATTTTCTAGCCTGTGACGAGTAAATGGACTGAAGAATGGGTAGCCTATTTAAAAGTTTTCTGATATCACAACCATCCTTCTTATTACTCATGACTTGCTGAAGAGGCGCCAATGACCGAGTCAGAAGACGTCCTTTCACACATGATTGGCTAGCATTACAAGCAGCACAAATAAAAGCAGTTCTGTTTGGTCTGCTGTTTACTGCAACCGGATTAATTTTGAATTAGAAACACTTGATTGATGTAAATGCTATTTAAACATTTGAATGCTGAGCTCTATTCGAGAAACGAAAACCTGTTTAGGAGGCAGTTTACGGCAGAAATCGTAGCTTGATGTTTTGTAGTTGCACAGTTGTGAACTCCCGAAGTTATCCTTGCTCACCGGGGGTCTCAATTGACAAAGAAGACGTCCTTCTCATGAAGCTCGAGGCCTCAAGTCGAGCCTGTCTACATTCATTAATAAAAGTGGCAAGCGAACAGCAATTGATTGGTCAGCTCATATCACGCCCTGGCGGGCGTTTTGTTTAAGATCTAACTTTGAGAAGGGCAACACTTTCTTCATCGCTTGTACTGGGTTGAACAGTTTGAAAATTAACTACTACCAGTACTTTAAAGGCTCAACTTCAAATAGGCCAAGCTCTGAGACTGCTTCAACAAATTCCGCCTCTACATGGAAAACACAGAAAAAAGTCACCTGCACCTTCTCCGCAATGCCAGTTATGCTGTTTTTTTTCATCCTAGTATAAAACCCGTGCTTCTCATAATGACACAACTCGTTCCCGTTGAGTTGATCCCATTTTAATGCTAATTCTTACCATTCCAGGTATTTTTGTAGAGTTTTGAAAAGTAGAAGTACGCCATCATTAGGGAGGCAGCACAAAGGAAACTCGTAGACTGTGAAATGGCAGATCCTCTGAAAGGACAAAAAAATAATTGGCCTTTCGAATGAACGGGTTCACTTTTGTTGGCACTGTCGTCTGATGCCACCTCGTGGTGCTAGCCGACATCCGTGCGATGAGGGCATTTGTTTCATCTTTGACACTATTTGCGTACTTTTAAATGTCCCGTACAGAAGGCAATGACTCAACTGAAACAGAATGTTCATACGTGCATTTTATTGGGTTGAAGACAACAGTATCTGAACGCTTAATGTCAATTTAGTTCGACATTTTCTGGCCAAACCACATTTGTTGTTGGTCTGAGGGGCATTAAGTTATCGGAAGACATCGCATTTTAGTATGAAGTAAGCGTGATTATGCACATAATTTACTGCATAAACTAACAACCACGAAGCAAGTTAAATTTCATTTTGAAGCGACAAATTTCATTTGACAAGGGATAATACCTTTCCGAGTCCGTGAGTGCTCTATACAACACCTCGAAATGCTATTCCAACACCAGAAGTCTTTCCTTATCTATTTTCCCACACAACTATATGAGACCCTGATCTAAAATTGGAGTCGTCGATGTGGAAACAGTTGGAAGAAGCTTGAGCCATCATTTGGACAGTCACTAGGATTATTGGGGTGATTGCTAAAATCCAACTCCACTAAATAAGGCTCCAAACACGGAAGTCCGATTGAATTATTTTACAGATTTGTTATACTCCGCAGTTCCCTTGAAAATGGCAATTGTAGTACAGCAACTCAAATAGTGGTTGAAGCCTTTGAATAAGCTAATAGCAGACATTCAGAGAGTCACAAGCACAGACTGTATCCCTGATAATTCAACAATACATTGACTATCTCGAAAGCTGGATTCGTTATAAGTACCACAAATCGTGATATTCGTGAATCCCAATCCTCAAGATACTAGGAGCCTGTTTTAAACATAAGTTATCATGACATGTGTGCATAGACATTTTTTTCTGCATTTTGAGAATTCTGTGTAAGGGGACTCACAGCGAAAAGCGAAAAATTTTGACTAACCCGAAAGCTAATGAACAGTGGAAACTCGAAAGCCTTCGAGGAACATCCAACTGGTTTTCTGAAGTCAGTACAATTCGTCAAACAATGTCACACTCTGGAAAGCTTTGATGTTAGCATTTGTACTCATAAAGTAACTCGTGGAACGTTTAAGTCAACAGCGATTCACAGCGGCCTTATCCCTAAAGTATGATTAACTCTGACTTCCCACCAGCATAGGAACTTACTTGATACCAAGTTTAGCTTGGAATAGAAGGAGGTAGTGTAGAATTGCGTTGATGACATTGGTAATTGCTCCTACCACTAGAGGTGGCATCATTTTATTCTGTAAAAAAACCATCAAAAGGCATCTCATGCAAATACCTCATACACGGCTTAAGTTGGAAGAAAATCCTTTGACTCACCTGAGACTGAACGTATTTTTCCATCACGCTGGCAATGGAAGCAAACTAAATAACCGTAAGTTAGCGGAAGCAAAAACGAATTTAACCTACAATCATAGCTGGCATCATATAGACCAGGTATTCCGCGGCCATCCTAGAAGTAAAAAAGGCTAACATGTCATTTAATGCATAAACCGTGTTGAGTGTTTTTGCATCTGTTGGATGCGCAGTAAACAAGCCTGAAGTGAGATATGCTGTCTTGGTTTGCCTTGACTTCGGTGGATGGAGCAATGGGCCTGAGAGGGCATGTTTAAATACTGAGTCGTTCTTGAGTAGTTGATTGCCGTATCGAGGCGACTAATTTCGATAACATGATATTTTTAAAGAATTTAACTGGTTTTGTCTCATAAAAAAACATAGGATGCGATAAAATCAGTAAGAGGTTTATTGAAAGTTGGGTTCCGGGTAGTGATCTTAGGCGAGGACAACACGAATAAAAACTCTGTGTACCGTAGGATGAGTGCAATCTATGAGAGGCCACATCCCATTCGAATAAACTTGAAAAGCGAATTGAGTCTATAGAATTCTCAATGAATTCACTCAACAATACCTCCCTTGTTCTATCGAAGAAGGAAACCGCTTTGAAGCAGTCAAGAAAAGCCGGATTACTTCGGGTTGGTGATCATGACACTACAAGGGCGACGCTTTCGTAGATGAATTAAGGAGGGCATTGTGGAGATGGGTGCTTACTACTCGACTAGTCTATTTCATACACTTCTAAATGATTAGGTGGAAATTAGAGAGTTTGTGGTCCTAAAACTTGGATGAGACAAAATATGAACATCAGCAACCACAAAATAGCATTGCATTCGTGGAGTTTTAGTAAACTACTTGATTATTAAACTACAACACTTGGATAGGGCGAATGCGTGAGCAACTATCTGGAATTATTACACGCCAATTCGTTGAAACCCCACGCGTTCAACGAAACTGGGAGACGGTATCTTCGAGGCAGACTCTGAAATAAGATGCTGAGAAAGGCATTTGGCGCGGCACACTTGGCGTTCTCTACTACTAAAATTAGTTTGTTGTGAATCGTGTTTATTCACACCCCTTAAACCGGTCGCTCCACCTCCGACACTGGGTTCCCATTTCCGCAGCATGTCGCCAGCAGCGCGGATCCTCAACTCCCCCATCATTCACACGGAAATTTATCTTGGATTATCCTCACACCTAGGTCTCGATGTTAGCGCATGCATGACTCACGCATCTCAGGTATAAATACACATACACACGACAACGACACCAACGTGGCTGAGCTCTGGAGTAAATGGTTGTGTCCACGTCCTTTCCAGTCTTTTTCTTCATCGCGGGTATCAAGGAAACATAATCGTGCCAGGGTTAATTCCGTGGCCCCGGCGTGGTTCAAGACCACATGCTGGGGCCCACAACAAGTTGACACCGTGCTTGCGAAAATGCAACCTCAGAGTGCTGCTTTACAGTATTGGCCTGAATTGTGGCGTCGTAAGTTCGTTTTCGAAAACAACGGACCCAAGACAACGCAAACGACTGCATTAAACTGTTTGTATTTCCTATCGCCAACTTCGACTGCCTAGTGTAGTTAAGCTGGGGTTGAAGAACCTGTTGGCACATCGTCTTAATCAAACATTATTAAAACAGTCAACGAACTTTGCAATGAGCGGATTGATCCGAATGACCAGGAGGAGAGGCTCGATGGAAAGAAAGATGCCCCAACAGCAAAGGCAGCAAATTGAGGCAATGTAAAAGGCTAAAAAAGATGGTTTCGGGTTTTAAACCATTTACACGAAATTCGCTAAGAGGGGGAAAGAAGGTGAAATTACCTTTCTGAAGCTCAGTGCCCATTTGAAATTTGTTTCCACTGCCGAACGTCTAAAGAGCAAACAAGTAACACGAGTTTTATTCGTGAGATTTCTCAAACACCAGACAGACTGCATATATGTGTGCTTTATGATTTCCCAGAAGAAAACGTTTTTCAAAAAATCATTCATTTCGGGGCAATCTAATGGATCTCGTAATTCTCAAGAGCAGGGTTTTCAGCCGACAGGGAGGCATTCGATGCACAGGATGGACACTGGCCTTGCAATGCTGTCATGGTGAAGGTTGACAAATTTTTTAAATTATCAACTAACAGATGAATAACAATATGATCACGCGATTTCATTGAGTAACGATTATATATTGGTTGAATTCTAAGACACAATAGTGGCATCTATGGCTCTGAAAACGGTCCGCAATCTGAAGGTAAACAGTCTGACCAAGATGCTCAGAACAAGGCCACGCGAATTCTGGGTGCTGCGATTGTGATAGCAGCTGGTGATCAGTTCAGCCTTCCCCCCTGCCACCCCAGCAGGCGTGTAAATAAGGCAAGTACATGTGGAGGGGGCACGTACCAACGGTTTATGTAAACAGAAAAGACCGCCAACTGACAGCGTCGTGGCTACACGCATGGCAGAAATACGTAGTCAAGGTTACGAGAGTCCACTGTCTGAATGCGTTGTGCGCGATAAAAAACTAAACTTGAACGGAATTGCAGAATGTGTGAATTGTGAATATGCGTGTTTGTGAATATGCTGGAAGTTATACCTGACACATTTCATGTTCATTATTTTCACAAAGCAATCTAGAGTTATCATTTACACCCTTAAACAACTTTGTGGGGAATTTTGTTGTTTTAAGATTCTACACGGAGTTCCTAGGCTTACAGGCAGGATGCATTGGCAAATATTGGTTCAAGATGCTTCATATTACAGAGTGTTCAAAATTACTTCACAATTCAATGTGGGAGTGAATATTTAGTGAATAGAAAAGGCCTAATTGGAAACACAACAAGCTGGTAGCTTCTAATTTTCTAGAAAAATTCGTGGGAGATGCTACGTCAAAACTATCCGAAGTTATCACGTCTGCTCAATGTGTGCACCGCCTGTGATGCAGCACAAATCAAGCCGGTTATCGAAGTTTCGTTACACTCGCCAGGTTATATCCTGTGCAACAGTCCTCAGAGAATTAATGATGCTCCCGCAATGTCAAGCCAAGTTGACGTGGAGCAATTTCAGCAGAATTTAGTCTTCATCAACCCCACGGCTAACTAATCTTCCTGCCAGCATTTTTGTCAGGTAGAGGTCTCCTGTCACTTTTCCTTCGAAGAAAAAGTGGCCCTACACACAGCCCTTTGAGGTGGTGCTGAACAAATTTCACCTGTTAGTGAATCCTTTTCATGTTAAACTGCGGTATGAGGGTTTCTTTACTCCAAGTGCGTATATATTTCCCGACTACTTATGATTACTTATGACCGAAATGCAATTCTATGGCTCTTGTGTGCCTTTGCCTTGTTGTGTTAGAAAAGTAGAGAGCTTGGCCGTTTTTATTCAACACTTGGTGTAAAGTTGACTAGGGCTTATATGAATGTGAAAAAAAGACTTAACCGGAACCGTCAAAAGAGGATAACTTGCCTGGGAGAAGATGGTGATGGAGGTTGAGAGAAGACCATGCATGATGGAGAAGCCAGTGACGTTGAAGATGGACAAGGCGAGACCTACAGCAGCTAATTCGTTCTCTCCAAGTCTGCCTGTGAATATGACACTGACCAGCGTCATGGCAGTAGACAGCATGCCAGTTATTGTCTGAGGAAACCAAATAAGTAAACGGTATCTGGTGAAACCACACCACGACTCAATCTACAAACCGCACTTTTAGGGAAGCAGACAGTGAATACCTACTCAACAAATTGAAATACCAAATGGACCAGTGATGATCAAAGAATTGTTCATCCAAGATACAACTGTGGGTAATGACTGGATAGCTGAACTAATGGTTTTAAGGGTCAAACAAATCCCATTTTCCTGTTTTTGACTTCACAGAAGTATTTGTAGCTATGCTTTAAATTTACTCAGTCCAAAATGTCCCCAATTTTGGTAGGCCATTGGTCAGAAAATCACACAGTAGCCACCGACATGTTCACACACACTGCTGGTCTCGCCTATTTCACTACCTGGTTGATTTGGTGCACTTGAGTAAACATACCTGGAACAAATCAGCCACGTGTTTACATTTTGAAAGAGCCAGTTGTTTACCGACGTGATCTTCTAATTAGGTGAGTGCAAGAGTAGCGACAATGTCGAAATTGAATGTATCTTGAAGGTGAAGCTAGTCGGAAATATAAACCTAGCACATGTCATTTGTCAGTGAGACCGTTTCGAAAAGTAGATGGAAGTTGATCATTTTGGGGAGATTTTTCCAGTAAAAAGAAGGTTCCATTGACAAATAAATAAGCCTTGAGGCCATCTACTCCAGTTTCAATATGGGGAACTGGTACTATGGGAGTCTGTAATTTGGGTTTCATGCTTTCCACTATATAACAAAGTCGAGTGACAGCATGGAATCCAATGACCTTTGAAATTTGCTGCTTTGAGGTTACTTGATCTTGAAAACGGAGCGAGTAGAGATGAAAAATACCATTTCAGTGGTGACCTAATGTGTATTTATTTGTCAGATATATTTCCTATTACCCCAATGAAATGCGAGCCAACTCATAGCGAGTGTGTGATGGGTACAGTTTAGTATGTCAAGGTGTGGTGTCCAAGCTCATGGCAAACAAAACATCCGTATTCAATGAAAAGGATTTCTTCAAAAACGTAGTTTGCGGCCAGCGTTTAAGTATTTGGACAAGTAAAGTCGTTTCCTGTTTCGTTGTGTCGTACTGTTTATATGCAGGCCACTTTTTTCACCATTTGTGCCAAAAATATAAGGCTTAAAGTAGCTGATGCATCACAACCAGGGACTACTGTAAAAGGTCTTTAGTCCATCAGATATCAATCACTTTAGTTAAACTAACTGTGGCATGTTCAATGAAAGCACTATCAGGGATATGCCAGGGAGCACAATTTGTGGGCAAATCTTTGGTACGGCCTAGTCTTTGAATGTCCGATATCTGTTGGAAGAATATCGTCTTCCGTGCCCATTACGAATTCGATAGGCAGGAAGGTAATAGAATATAGGCATAAACACCAGGAAATATGAATAAATGGAAACTCACAATCGGGATAGCAAATTTGCATAGTTTTCTGAGTTCTTGCACGAAAGGTTGCCGATTTGAAATGCAACACCGTCGCGGGGGCTGGTAAAGGTCTACCAATTCTGGCATTTTTACATCTGACAACGTAACCTCTGCACCAGCCCCGTTCATTGCCTCGACCTCCTTAAGCGTTAACGTGCTTGAATTACGTTTTACAAAACTATTTAATTACTTTTGTTTCCAATGAATGAAGGCTTTTTTAGAATAGAGATGTTGAAATCTTAGCCAATCAGTGAACCTTAAAGTCCCGTTACTTGTGCCATTGGATAAGATCATCTAGTCAAACCAATGACGTAACTAAGCAAATATTGGTGGTTAGTAAAACCTATACATTTTAAATGTGCGTCCAAAACTCCTTCTCCGCAGACTGTTAAAGCAGTTGCCCGTGAATCAGTGCTTAGAAGTTGATATAATACGAGATGAGGTTTCTATTTAGAATAAAGACATTTAAATGAAATCTTGAATTTTCGATTGCAAGTGTAGGTAAACTGGCCTTCAAGAAACATGTAGATGGTTTAACAGTTAGCTTGTTTCCACTAGCGTCTTACCCAAAACGAAATCAATCGAATTAACTGCAACGACTTGTTTACCAAGTAAATTGGTCAAAGTCGCGCGATTGTTTTTGCCGGAGGCTCTATTGGGCCAGGACTGCAATAGACGATGCTTTTGTCTAGGTCAGTGGAACTGGCCATGGGAAGACCACTTAAAGATTTCCTTGGCAAATCCAAATATGTTGACTCCATGACAGCAATCGATTCCCACAACAATAATTTAGAACCAAGCGGTCGTGTTGATGGCCTATGCTCAAACGGCCCGTGAACAAAATGTGTTGGTTACGGGGTAGTCACTCATGACGCCTGCATATCGACTCCAGCCTAGCAAGTGAATCAGTAATAATCTTCGCCTCATTGTGTTGCCTTTACACTACATATTCCAGGAGTGTCTACGAACACCCAGATGATTGAAGTAGCTGCATATAGGATATATTTGGAACGCAGTACGGTTACACGTATCATGAACACTTCTTGCCCAAAAAACGTGCCAGCCGATTTATACCGCAAGTGGGCATGAAAGATGTAAATGGAAATACCATTGGGGATGCCGCTAGTATAATGGCAGCGAACAAAGTGTCGATAAGTTAAGAGTGTCTGGCATCTGTGGTGATTTGTGAACAAGTCGGATCAAGTCGAATCAAATGACCGGGAACCCGATTCCATAAACTCAATAACCGTGATGTTAGGTGGTGCTGAGAATAAAAGCTAGGTTGCACTCACCAATTGACTTTGTGATCAAGGCTTAAGCACACATGATTTTCTATGAGATCTGTCCATATGTGCAAAGCAAGACCATCGATATCGTTAAGAGCAATCAAGGCTATTTAATTAACCGTTAAAGATTGTGAAATTCGGCAACTTTTCATTGCTACTATTAAACTATTCACAACCCATATCAGCTTTATGTTTTTGATTTCAATGAAACCACTCAAATCAGTACGGCAATTCGTACGGTTTTCATTGTAACAACTAGTCGGATGTCAAGGGAACTTAATAGAATATGAAGGATATCTACATGTCGATATCCAAACGCTTAAAGGCAGACATTATGAAGGGAGGCAATAAGCTTAAAACAGTGTTTAGGATGTGCAAGTCATTCGAATTGTGTCCCTGAATGAAAATTCTTCAAACAGTATTAGTAGAATAGCACAATCGGCTACAAATGTGTATAATCTGTGAGGTGGAATTTGAGTCTAAACACAACCACAGAATACACAATTGGCTCAGTTCTGGTCCTTGATGCTCGCAGTTAATCGGAGATCGTTGGAAAATTCTTCGTGTAAAGTTGTTTCACTTCGTCGCGTAGAGATTTTATTTCGCGAGTTTGGTACTGCGTGAGTTTTTCCAAGTTCGTCTTCCGTAGCAAAGATTTGTAGCAGGCCTCTGCCTGTAGCACATCGCTTGCTGCGTGAGCTGAGGCAAAAAAAATTGCACATTAATGGACTGGCGTTTCGAGCTCATGAACGGCACTTGTGTTGCTGACTGGTTTTTGCAAGCAGTCTGGTAATATACTCCACACCTGTCCTCTTATCCACAGGTAGGAGTAGCCAGTTTTTTAATCAAACAAAGGTGAGTTAGAGGGCCTAATACCACAGTTAGACCATCTAACATGCTTCGTGTGCACTCCTTACGTACTCAAGCCAAGTAATCCAAACGGGTGAAGTGACAATAAAAGGGACATAGCCACGTAAACAGCCCTTTCGTAGTATTTCTTCTGTGTCCCTCATCTTCTTCATTAGCACCGACTTGCTTCAATTGAACATTGGACTCGGATAAACATTCTGCTAAGAAATCAGGCAGGTGAATCACCAATTAAGAGACAAAAGTCGTACGACTACCACCTCAAGGAGATCACAACTAGGCCAAACGGAATGCACACTGGACGGCCTAACTCTAGTTAGTGGGAAGTTTCAAGAGAGCGCCATTGATATTAAAGTTGTCTAGGATGTTAAAACTAAGACAAGTCTTTTTCAGCTGTATTTCGACAATTATTAATTATAAAATACTTGAAGGCCGATTTCTGCAATTCTATCAAGAAAAATGGCCAGTTGTTTGCAACTTACGAGTCTGTTCGTAAATGTGCCTTGCCTCCCAAACACCGATGTTCAGTTTTTCAAGCTCGCGTAAAAGATTTTCGTTCTGCTTGACAATTTTTCCAACCTGCTTTTCTTCGTAGTATTTTACTCGCTTCTCAACCGCTTCCATGTGTTTTTCGTGATTCTATAAAACAAAAGACGTCACCAGGTGCTACAACTGGAGCATGTTATCACTCAGCCTGACATTCAAATCTCACCGCCTTTAATTGAGCATAGGTGCGCTCTGAATCGGTGACTTCAGCGGCTACCAAACCGTCGTAATCGTCGTTTTGGAGGTACTTTGTAAAAAAGGGTAAAATTACGTGTTGGTTAAAGATGCGACGATTCTAGAAGACTCTGCAAGTAAACATACCCGTTGTATTTCTCGAGTGATGGTGAAATTTGTGATTTGCTTCTGACGGTTCACAAAGTCCTCATAACGCATCAGCATCTCACGCAAATCCCTAAGAAACATAAGGAGCGAAATTGAAACCAAGCAAATGTGGCCATGATAGCCATAAGTAGTATTATGATACCCAATTAATTTTTAATGGTGATAAGCACTACCGTGTGGCATCCAGACGAAATTTGACAAAAAAAACGAATAATTCGATAAAAACGCTCCCTGAGGTACCCAAGTGACGATATGGAAATGAAATAATTGGTGGGCGCAAACTTACCACTCGAGCGTCTTAAAATGCCGCTTGTACAATTTAATGAGCTCCATGTGTTTGATTTTTTCGTTACTAAGTTGGATAACTTGGGTATTGAGACCCTCGATCTGCCTGCGATTGATGAGCATGCATTTGTTGTAATCCTCCACCAGGCAGCCTGGTTCCAGCTCAATCTCTACTTGGCCCTGCTGCATGACGATGCTGACGTCCACATTCGTCATTGTCCGGTAGATGCATGCCTTCAGGTCGATGATGCCCGTCTCAACATCATGCAGCTCTTGAGTTGCGTCAGCCAACTCTTTCTCGCGTCGCTTAAGAGGTAGAAATATTGCTTTTTTTTTCGAAATACCAAAAGCGCACATTTATTTGAAGAAGAAATTGAGCCCTGGTTAGTCGGAAGCATTTCCGAATCCTCGGCAATAAATATGACTTCCAAATACCTTAACCACACAGGGCTGCTGATAATTTTATTTCTCTGCAACACAAACTGAAGTTGAAGTTACTACAGGAAGCTAACCGGGATTGCTTATCTGTGACATTTTAACCTGTCACAACAGGCAAGACCGAAGTCATATTTTCGGTATTCACGTCTTCATAAATCACTGTAAAACAGCACCAGCTCATTTACTCAATAATAATGCCTCTGCTATTGCTACAATGGTGTACAATAATTTATGGTAAAAAAAGATCCCCACGCACTTGAAGGAAGGCATATGAGTCGTTTAGGCGCAAAGTAGCAACTTTCAGTTCCATCTCTTTATCGGCTTTCTTGAGTCGTGCCTTGTACAGGCGTTCCCAGATGGCTGGATCAATGCCGAATTCGGCCATCTTGTTGATCTCGTCGAATTCTGCGAGGCCACGATGAAGTGCTTCCCACTCCGCCTCGATGGCGCGAGATTGGGCCATGGCTCCCATTGGGGGATTGTTGCTGTCCAACGCGAGACCATCCTTTTGACCAATCATCGTTTGACGACGGAGCCTCTCGTCCTTTTGACCAGTCATCGTTTGGCGACGGAGTCGCTCATCCCTTTGACCGAACATCGTTTGGCGATGGGACCGCTCATCCCTTTGACCAATCAGCGTTTGGCGACGGAGCCGCTCATCCTTTTGACCAATCAGCGTTTGGCGACGGAGCCGCTCATCCCTTTGACCAAACATCGTTTGGCGATGGGACCGCTCGTCCTTTTGACCAAGCATTGTTTGATGGGGTCGGTCGTCCTCAGTCTCCGCCTTGGCCCCCGCCGTAACTCGCCTAAGAAAGTTCACATTTAACTCAGCAAACGGTTGAAATTCTCGCTGGCATTAACCACACTCCTCGATAGCCTAGTTCACAGGTTTGACCTTTCCAAAATACAAAGAACAAGCAGGCCATGTTTGTAAAATATACAAATATGCTTAAAGCTACAGGCTATTATCAATGATGATTTACCTATCAACTGTCTACCATTCATTTAACTAACGCCCAGCATCGTCTTAACCCTATTTATGAAAACCAAACCCGATTCTACAAATCCCGCACATCTACTTATATCCCCAGCTGATCAGGTTGAAATACCATTTAAAACAAACGGTAAGACATACTTGGGTCGCCTTTTGAAGGCCTTGAGTATAATATCATAGGCGGCTCCGTGAACATCGTGGAAGTCCTTGCGAAAACTCTTTGCCATTAAACGGTCCTCTGCAGCAATCAGTTCAACTTCCTCTTGGACCTTTTCAACCAACTCCTTCGTCTGCTTAATGAATTCACCGAGCTAAAGTAATTAATTAAATAGCGCTTTGATCAATAAAGTGAATGTGAGGCAAGCAACGATTGTTTACAAAGAGTCTCGCCGGACTGTTGTCACCACATGCCCAGATGAAACATGTTCCAAAGGCCAGGCTGTGTATGAACATATTAGACGAGTCTCACGATTCATTAGAACACAAACCCTACATTCAGACTTCAAGGACATATTAACAAAAGCAATCTGCAGCGTGTGACGCATGACATCCAACTTCCGAGACACAAGTTCTTACCCGATTTGCATAACTTACCATTGTTATTCTTTCCTCAATATTAACTTTTTTCGCATTATAAAGTTTGGCCTCTTCTTGTAGCTCCCTAGCCTGTAAAATCGAAGCCCGCATCTTCCAGACCTTCAGATCCTCCATGTGGAGACCAATTTCAAACTGGAGGTAGGTATTGAAAAGCTCGATTATGGTTTCGTTGGTGGCCCGTTTTGCCTCGTTAATAAATGCCTCATTCTTCTTCAGGTCGCTCTCTAAATACTGAAAAAGGAAAATATGTGGTCAAGTTTTCAATGCCCTGGATCTTTGGAATGTACACTACAAAGCCGGGCTTTTCCAGTGCTCTGTTTCAGCTGGAACACTGTCATATCCAATGACCAGGAATTTTTCGGTTACACTGGGAGGTAAAGAATAAAAAACGAATCTTCTGGATTAGCAGTAGTTCATTTTATGTCGCTTGTGCCAGTTTTCGAGCCCAAAGGCTTGACTTGAACTACCAAACCAGCGAAAAGGGATGATGTCCCCCGAAATTGAGTTGTAGGGTCAGTTAGATGCAGAAATTAGTTATTATTGCCAGTGGTAGAGTTTCTAATTATGTGTCAGATGTAAGTGTCGACAACTAATCAACAGTAACATATCGAGTCGGGTTAGTTTTGGTTCTGGACAAAGCAACTAAAGGTGCAATAATAACCCGTTCAAAGCAATGCAAACTATGGAGATAGATTGGTTAAAAAAATTAACTAGACAATTTAAGAGTCTCAGGATGTTAAACTAAATTTACCTAATTAAACTTTTAATGCACCAAGTGGAAATCATAGAAATTTCTGTGAAAGCAAGCGCAGTGGCTGAATGTAGCTAGGCTATCGTAGTGAATACAAATACTGTTTTTGGAAAGTATTGCGTTATCCTTTCTGGAAATTATCTTGAGATCTAAATTGAACTTTATTGAAGCTCACGGTGTGATGAATTCAATTCCATGACGGCTGTTTAAATTTATTTTTGAATAACTTAATTAGGGGATTGTATTTTACACGCGAACTCAGTCCAGCACACTTCAGGTTGAAAGCAGCTTTTTAAACCGCTTCACACAATAATCCTACCTTCGGTACATACTTTGTTTTTCAGTTGTTACTTAACTGAGGTCTGATTTGGTCAACATTCGAATTTAGATGAGCTAACCATGGGAAAGTGCTAAACGTCGACAGTGTACGAGAAAAGCTATCCTATCATGCCTACTTTGCGATATTTTTCGCGCTCCGCCTCTAGTTCTTTGCATGCTTGGAGGTAATTTTTGTAAATTCGCTTCTCATCCGGAGTCATTTCGTGCTCCTGTTTGCCCGCTCTAACAAACGCTGGCATAGGGATGTCCTTCTTTAGTTCGTCCTCTCGCCGCACTTCGAGAACACCGCCCATCATGTCTTCCAGTCCACGTTCCCTCCAGTTCTCCCGTCGTTCCATCTCGAGTCTCTCCGCCTCAGCTCGGGCAGCGGCCTCCATTGCCGCTATCTCCTCAGGCGAGAGGTACTTCTCCACGTCAATCTCCTCGTCTGTGCATTTGAGCAGGGATTCTGGGTCTTCCACGGACTGCAGTTTGAAGGGAGCGAGGGAGAGCAGAGGCGCCTCGTTGTTGAGCTCCGGGATGATCTGGTTGATACGAGCGACACGCTTCTCGATATTTCGAATGTTTTCACTTTTGATCTCCAGGCACTCATTGAATTTTTCGTTGAATTTAATCTTCATTTTGCGCATTAAATCCTGTATCAAACAGAGTGCAGTCTTGTCAAACCATTATTACCATATTAATCAATAGCCATTAGGACACTTATCTGCGTAAAAATGATTTCCTACCATGCAGTAAACTAACCTGAATAAGAACAGCTTGTGTCAGTTTCTGATCATTTGTAAAGAGCTCAAGTTGGCAATAGAGGAGTTTGGTCGATATGCCAAATTTGCTAGCTTTAACCAAAAAGCAAACAAACTAGGAGTAAATTTTAAGGCAAAAACTGAAGAAAGAGAAACCACAGGATGACCTACCAACACCACCAAGGACCTGAGCATCTTCGGATTCTTCCTCTTCATCCTCTATGTCTTCTGAGCTGCCCTTTTCACTCTCCTGCAACAACATAGGACAGAATTGAGATCCAGCGCTAGGAGGACTTTGGTGATGGACAAAGTTTGCCAAAAGCTCACTGATTAAAAGTAAATCTCATTAGCATCACTCTTCTCAATGTGTAAAATGCAAATGTTAGATTAGATTAGGACCAAGCATGTCATGAATTTGCAATAGTGTGAAAAATAAGCCTGCAGTTGCAATTACTTCAACCAGATGACATCTCGAACCAACGCGCTTTGAAATGATTGCAAGAAGACTTACACTGGATAAGGTTTTGTTTGCGACCTTTTCGTATTCTCTGTTGTAGCACGCACTGATGCAAATCTCAACACGCCGTCGGATTTTAGCTTGAGTCAAGAGCCGATTCTCCTCTTCCGTTCTAGGGTACAGTGGGTAATTGGGGACCTCGATCGGTAAGTCGTAAGCTAACAGACTGCAACCTTTGACTTCGTGGTTATCCCAACACTGAGAACGGATTAAGTGATGAGTGAACTCCTTGATGAGGTCCTGGCGTTCCACTTCTTTGCGTTTCTAAAAATACTTGCTACAAGTCCTATTTCCAACGTACCTCCTCTAATATATTATTTGTCTCTTCCAATATAGCACTTCGTTCCCCGGAGTCCAGCTCAAATTCATTGATTCCCACCTTTTCCAGTTCCGTCAGTTTGTTATTGAGGTCGGCCATTTGCGCCAGCTATTCATAAACGGTGGGGGAGAGAAAAGCAAGAGCATAAAACTATGATTCTGAGCAGCGCTCTGGGCCGCTGTGTTTATACGATTGGCTGGCAATTGCTATACATCCAAGGGAGTTTCAATGCAGAGTTCTACTTATCAAAATTGAACTAATTTGGGTAGTCTAGATCAGTCGACACCTCCGTAATAAAATCCACGCGACGACTTTGAGATCATGGCCATGCATCAGAAAGCCAGCTTACCTCTTTGCTAAGCTGGATGAACTCATCAGTTATTCTGTTCTTGGTTGAACTTAGGGCCCGCACGTCATTTTCGCGTTGGTTTTGGAACTGTTGCTCTAGCCAGGTCAAGGGCTGGCCTAGTTTATCCACAATATAGACATAGATAGCACCATCGTCCTCTTCTGTCACGCGGCCACTGGGAGGCGTGACATTCAGGTTATTTAACTGCCGAGTGTCGAGGGACATCAGCGCGTTCCTCCTTGACATGGCGGCCATTTCAGCGGCCCGAAGGACACTGGGATCCTCAAGAGTAATCTTCCCTCTTGACGTAGAAAAATGTTTTTTTTTTAGTTAGGAATAGGCGTGAGTCCGATGTTTCGGACAAAGGAAAGAAATGACCATTTACTTGACAATCCATGTTTCCAAGAATACTATTGGCACCATCAAGAGTCGACATGGCATTATGCTAAAGGAAGGGTTACAATAGCGCGCAGCAGTCTTGACACATTTATATAATCAGTTTGATCATGAGTAGCTGAGGTTGCTTTCGTAGGCGAGCGGTAGCTACATTAATCGAATAAATTAAAAGAGATGAAGAATCATGTTGCTTTTGGCATCAAACTATACCATGCTTACAAGCCGTAGATTTCAACGAATTTTAACGTTTGAATTAAAAAGGCTGTCAACTTAATTTTCCTTAATTGGAAATTAAGGAAATCTCACTCGCTGAATACTCAGACATTTTCGTGCAAAGGAACTTAATTTTTTTAGAGTGCATTACTGATTTTTTTTACAAAACTTTAGTTACTTTAATTCTATAGGTTACAGACGCCGAAAGGTAATAACGGTTATTTGGCAAAAAATCTCAAATTTCGGCATGATTTTAATCCAGTCACTAAGATAAGCGTCCCATTCGGCTCAAGGAAGTTGTTTTAATAAGTAAGATGAGACCAGACGAAACCCGGGAACGGCAAAGTTGTAGCTTTTTCCCGTTCAAGTATCACCGAAATTTGAGGTTCTTTAGTTTACCTAGTCGCCCAAACTGTTGATACGCCCACTTAAATATTTGAGTGGATTTGTTCACTATGCACGCGGATGAGCCTAGTTTAACGCCTTCTATGTATTTCAATTAACTGACTTCAGCCCGAACCCATCGAACACACAAGAATTTTCGGTGAATGCACGTCCATTGCATCCACCAGAGGGCTTACCTCCAGTCGGCAGCGTAGAAAGTACCTTCCCGTCTAACAGCAGCGAGAAAGTCAAAATCCCTCGTTATCGCTGCCTTTACTTCGTGATTTGAGTACTCCACCACAGCAGAAAAATTCAATACGGTAGCGGACTACACAATTAAAATATAGAGTTAAGGTTTACCTACGTAACTGGAAATATGGGAGAAGTATAGCTGGAATCGGCAAATATTTTTAGGTGCTTCATGTGCGTCAGTAATCAAAAAAGAGGCAAAAATGATATCTTACTACTGACAGTTGTAAAGTGCATAAACTAAATTAGGATAGAATGAGCTGATGCAAAGAGAAGCCGATTATATAGGTGAGAATAGTAAGGAGGTGCAAACTCACCGAATCACGAACTTCGACCAAATGTACCAAACCTGCTTTGGTGGTGACAAGAATAAAACCGAGCACATGAGTAGGACAGAACTTAGCTGTTGATGGGAAGATTACATCCAGAATTCGAAAATTGTCTACTCCAGTAATAGCCGGTTTCACCTATGAAACAAAAACTGTATCGTTAAAAAAAGAATCCACAAATGAGAATGAGAACCAGAACAGAGAACGCGAAATGGAAAGTGGTACAATATGGCGTTCACACATGGAAATGTACATATAGTTTGCAAAGTGGACCAACAAACAGTAGAATCACAAATCGTCATTGTATCTGGGTTCGACTAAGTTCGAAGTAGGGCGCTGTCAGGACGAAATGTGGACAACAATCTCGTAAGCAGCAGGAGAACTGATTAGCCCCGAAATCCTGCTACTGGATAATCGAGATTAGCTTGTGCCTTACTATCACACGTCACTCATTTTGCAGTGTAATGATGGGTGTAATATTAATCGACTGACAGGAATCATTCAATTGTGACATTATTTCGCAACACTTAACTAACAATAAACAGTTCCAACAAAATAAACCGAGGGACGACCAACTAGCAACCTCTTTTTTAGGCCTCTTATCCTTTTTATCCTGCCTACGTAGTCGGGTTAAATGTAGGAGGTTGATGCTAGACCTGGGAGCACGGTAACTCAGTGCTTCAAACGACACAGACCCGAGAATGGATCGCCTGGCGTTGGAACGGGCCTGCAGGAGGGGCTGCAGCTGGGATGTGGATTCTCGTATGGTAGAATAGGAGCGTTTCACTGATTGTGCTGACCTGGTGTATTGTCTGTAGGCGGATGCCTTAGAAGTGATAGTAGGCAATGGAAAATGGGATTTCAAGTTTTAATTTAAATACTCTGTCTGTTTTTGCTTTAAAGGGTGGTGTTTACGTAACCTGTTTCATTAGAATCTCCGATATTGTGACCACATACGAGGAAGCAAGATCTAAGTCACCGCTAATTTATTGAGAGCCAACTGAGCGCAAAACAGCGCATTCATCGGATGCAGCAATTCTGCTTTTGCCATAGATTCCGCTCTTCCACTTCCGTGCTTCCAGTTTCGTTTTCTTATTATGGTAGTAATGCACAAACCATTCTGCAAAATGAGCGTTCAAGTGTTTTTAAGTTGCTTTAAATGGACAAAACAATCGAATTGTCCACATGTGGTTTTCTGCAATCTCTTCTTGGTGAAGTCGTGAATTATCACTTACAAAATCACGGATACTGTCACTATCAATGACGGAAGATTGTCGAGGGCGAAGTCTATCATGCAGAACCAAGTCGCCATTTTGAAATTGATAAAATCACATCTTAAATTTCCTGAGAGCAAACCCGTGACTTAAATAAAAGTCTTGTCGCAGTTCCAGCATTCACCCCTTGTTTAAACTCATAGGACACAAAATGATGAAAACGCAACTTTTAATTTTTACATCTTGAGAGCTGACCAGGTACACAAAATTAATAAAAATAAGTTTTCAAGGGCTATTTTGCCTCATAATGCATTTATCCAACTTGCACTTAATAAATTGATAATAACAGTTAAAGGCGCATGCTTCAGCCATCTTGAAAAATAGCGTGGAGGCTTTTTCCATTACCATGCATATGGCAAATTTAAAATTTCTGCCACTCAATTTGGTGTTTGCAACGTTTCGTAAAAACCGAATGACTGCACCGTTGGAAAATCGATAAAGTGGATAACATGCCGAAATAGGCGAATTGGGGATTTACAAAGTCTACGGAGAATAGATACCAGGAATGCCTCAATGGTAATTAAACAGGGTATCATGACTTGTCGGCGTTATTTCAGCTTGAAAACGTTGAATGCGATTTTATGACGGACCAAAATCTGGAAAACTCAGTAAATCCACCAAGGAACCTGTGTTGGCTGAGATTTAAGCCAATCCAAACCTAAACGGTCGAGAATTAGCGACAATGCCCACAACAGCATGATCTACAGTATAACATTGTTAGAAGCAAACGAAAATATGCATGAAGGACGACGGTGAAATCTACTTAACTTGCACACGCACTCAGCAATCCAGACACAAAGGAACAATGGCCAGCGCAAGACTGTAGCCACTGATAATTTTGCAGCCTGACAAGGCGAACACATCTTTGCTTTAAATGGTGCCTGATCCACCAGGAAACGTGAAGCTCTCACAGAAACGGAAGCACTCAAGAAATGTCAAGGGTCTAGCATGAGAGATTTAACCAATATGCACTTCGTCGAACTGTCACCTTTTCAGATCAGTCAATCTTTTCATTAACAGGGAAAAATACAATACAACAACCTTCAAAAGCGACCCCGGAGAGTACCTTATTTTGAAACCTCCGGCAGTTTGCAAGAAGAGAAGTTCAAGTCTGCTTAGTAATTTGTAAAAGCATGCTCCACGAAGTGTAAGTACTAGAAACGAAACTACTTGAGGCGGTTGTAGGGTTGGTGCCCATAAAAGGCATTTAATGCAGCAACTCAACAACATTCACTTGCACCTCACTGTTGAACACTAGCATAATCCATGAAGTGATAAATCATGGAGGCGTTGTCGTAAAATAACAAAATAACTTGGAAAAAAATTAAGCAGATCATTGCTATAGCCTGGAGTGCGTTTTGTAACTGATAAAAATGGTCTCTTCATGAATCAAACTGTAGAAATGTACTTGTATTAGGCAAGCCACTTCGTGCGCACCTATGGTGTACTTGAGTTCTCGAAATCCACTATTGGCTCTCACCGCTGACACACATATTTACATAATTGGTACCAAATTATGATATTGTTATGGGTAAAATCAGTTACGTGAAGTTGTACCTGATCAGCGACCTCCTTGCTAAGATCTATCGCTACCAAAAGACTGTTGTCGTTAGCGTTCTTCGTCAGTGAGAATAGAATGATTTTGGGTATGGGCTTTCTCTCATCGGAGTTCACCTCTTCACCGTCCGATTCGTGTCTTTCCGAACTCCCAATACTGGCATCATCCGAAGCGAGTGAGTTCAATGTTTCTGGTTCAGTTACAGTTAAGTAAGCCTCATAGATGTTGAGCAAGATCTTAAAGGACATCATGGAGAGAGAATCATCTCGAAGTTGGTAACTTTGAGGGTACATATGGGGCCTGGGATCTAAAATAAATGAATTTACCTACAGCTGAATACAAAGTATAATATATATTACCGGTTTGGTGTATTTATATAATACACATCAACTGAGCACGGCACTATCGCCTATCTCAACCCAGCCTCTGATTTCGACTCGCGTGCAGCCATCGTCGGCAACAGCTAATCGCCTCTCGCTACATTGCATTTCAGATTGACCTTTTGAGAGGAACCGTTGTATCGTCCTCATCAACTGCCTACGAATATCTCTGAGGGAAGACCATCAGCTTCGACCATCAATCAGTGCTGACCAATAGCATCGAGTCGAACATGGCAAAAAATCGGTGCTTCGTTTCAAAGAAAATGCAGGCGATCGTGCAACTTCAAGCCTACCATTGCTGTCAGCACATGTCCAAGTACTTTAGTGAATCACGCCTTTCAATAATTCGTGTGTCTGCACCGCCCCTCTGTCTCACACAACGCAAGCGTTGATTATTTCAATGTCAATAAAGTACCCACACTAAAGAAATGTGTTCTGTGTGCATGAAATCACCAAAGACACAATTTTTGTGGCAGAATAGTAAAACTTGATGGGTGTGTTTTGGAATTATTTGTACTCTAGGCTTAGGTGTTTCAACAGAGCACTTACCTTCCAGTATTTCATCGGTAATTATAAAGAACTTCGCTTCCGTAAAATTGGCTGCTCCCCTTTTCCCAATAATGATGCCATAGAATTTATTGCTTTGTGATTTAGTAAGTGCAATGCTATCCGGTTCCTCTTCACAGGCTACAGCATTAAGAATGGACCATATAGATATGAATTGACAAATTTACGTTGCCAAAACACTTCATACGTACGTATGTATCCCAGACCTGGAAACGCCTTCTGTGGATCACAGGAAACGAGGTAAATATATGACTCCGACCCAACTACAGCCATCAGTTCACCACTAGTGTCCATGCTAGAAGTTGATAAACAAAATATACTTAGTCACTCCTAGCTTATGCATCTATTAAAAGTGACATATTAAAAACCGCAAAACCATCTCCAAACCCACGCCACGAAGACATCGGACTACAGCATTTACAAAACACATTTTTGAGCACGAAAGAAGCATAGTTTAGACAAACTTATTGATATAGATATTATTTTATACAACACCTTGTTGTGGGTTGTCAGCACTGGTTTATTCGTAGTGATTTGTCTGACCAGATTTGCCTGAAGATGATTAAAATGTATGTCCCCATCTAACTTTTCTCATTGCTCGCATGCCATTCACAAATATTCTATAAACGTACCCACAAAAACACACCAATTATGAAGAATGACTAGTGCTGTTCCATCAATTTTTATTGCAGTTTCATCATCTTATTTGCTAAAGTTCACAATTTGTGTTAAGGAAGAATGTGATTATGAAGTATTTGTGTATTGCACTACATAGATTAAGCGTGAATTAAGCAACGTGATTTTAAATACTGACATGAAATCGGGAATTTCAGAGGATCCTTTGGGATTTAAAGTCTTTTTTTCACGCCCTATATAGCAGAGAAAGTTGATCTAGGATTTTGGAACCATGTCAGTGACGCGGAACGTTGTCAAATGAACGTGGACTTTGACCAAAGTGTTTCCACACCATCAACTGTTCTGTTCGCTTGGACTTGGCAGTGAATTTTGTCACAGGATCTACGGTAGCAGTAATTTACCCCTAATCAACCTGACCAGCATAAATTAGAGATTTGCGTGTCAGCGCGTCCCATTTATTGCTGCATTACAGAGAAGCGATCAGACAATTCAAGCACTTAGAAAAATAGGTTTTTAACAGCACCTTCTTAAAGCCACGTGGTTAACTGATGATAAACTGTGGTGTTTAGGTAGAATAATCAATCAATCGTGAGCAGTTCCGTAATTCAAGAGCCGCTGGTAACCTCGAAGAAAACAGTTTAATCAACGAACAAACACGATTTAATGGAGACGTGAAAGTAACGATTGCGAACTTACCATATCTTTTTGATAGCTGTGGTAAAAAGCTGAATTGCCTGAACGATTCGTGGAGTTCTCCAGTCAGACCAGCAGACGAAGACAAGAACGCCTGATTCTAATCCAACCACAACAGCAGGCAGTCCAGGGATGGCCCGCAAGCTGGTGGCCTAATTCACACAGGAAAAAAGGATATAAAATGCTTAATTGTAACACTAATACTGGAATTAGGTTTTCTGACGCCTTTTTCCTCTAACCAAACTCATGAAATTGTCGACTTGAGAAGAAAATATATGTAGTAGAATGTCATAGGAGACCAATGAATTTAAGTTTAAATGATTATTAATTCTAGCTAATTTGTCACGAGTTCTTCGTAAAAGCCCAAGTACAAACGCACAAAGCCCACAATGCCTAGCGGGTTTGTAAATGGTTGTGTCCACTACGTCCTATACCCTTAAAACAACCTATTTTGTTCACGGGTCTAGTGAGAAGTATAGTTATAGTGTAGTCTGCTAGTGATCCCACAAACAGTCAAATCTCCGTTGTCTAAGGTCGTTTGATTCCTCTCTCTCCGTGTACTTCCTGTTGCATATTGTAGCAACAAGGACGAACACTAACAACAACCTCGGTCAACACGCAAGGTAATCAGCATATTATGGCCGTGTTTTTGGTCAAAATTGGCCAATTTTCGTGGTTTCAAAAAATTCCGTGGGGCCTTCACTGTTATTTAGCTTCCAAAATATACGGCTTTTGCCAACACACTACTTAACGAACTGACCAAAGAGGAATAAGATGCACTGTTCAACCTTGACAATTATGCACCCTACGACTTCGTCATTTCCTCGATCCTCAAACGTACTCATCCAGCAACTTGGTACTGCCCCAACCAGTTAATGTAGCAAAACGTAATGGCCGACCTTAGGGAGGCACATTAGGAATTAGCTTGAAAGTGATAATCTATATAAGGCATTCTGAAAAACATTCTTGCAAGAACGGCCTCTAGATGATGTCCAGACTGCTTTACGTTCAACTCGGATGGCAAAACGTATTAAGGAAGCAATTCGGTTTACCTTAATCTCCACCTTTAATAGAAGATTCGATAAACAATTGATATCTACCGTGTCATCCAATGAATTTAACTCGCTGGATACCCAATAAACTCCTCATGCATAGGACGCAGTGTTTTTTGTAACGTTTACTTAGGGCCAGCAATTCATGATTTGGAAGGCACAGTCATTCGTTTGCCATGGAACGTATGCGGATGTATTGTGAATAACTTTCACGCTCTGCAGGCACTATCAGCCTTTTTGTTGTGGAGCCTACCAATCTGGGTCGCTTTCACGTAAATCGGCAGGGAGTGAGGACGCCCGAGGGTTGGGGCGAATACTTCCTGGTCAGCTCCTATTATTTGTCCCACTTATGGGTACAGAAAACACTTAGCCATTCCCTTCTGCTTTTTCTCAGCAGTCAATGCCTGGCATATAACCCTGGATTACGAGGTCAATTTCGTTGGGTTAATAGAAGCAATAGCTGCGCCCTTCTTTTACCAAATTTTGCCTGAATGGCTTTCGGCTTACTCAATGCAGCCCAAACTTCACAACGTTTAATTGGTCACGTGCAAGGTGGACTGGGCTGTACGCATTTGTACACTGGTGGCACCTCAAAAAGTTAGCGAGGATAAGGAGGGGCATGTGGAACACATCGAGGCCGTTTTTGAATGCTTGATTGGCTAATACTTGCATTTTGACTCCCCGAAATTAGAGTTCCTGGAGTATTTAAATCCTCCACTGGTTTGCAAGCTACAGATGTCAAACCAGCGGAGTACTGCGGTCCTCCACAGCAAGGTTAAATCAATTAACTCAAAAAATTCTTGCGGATGATCAGTTTCTGCCGTCGATTATTGCCTAAAGCGCCTCAGCAGATTCTTCCTCTGACTAATCCCTTGAAGAATAACAATATAAAAGTGACAAAGCACACAAATTTTTCACTGCAACAAAAGAGACCACAACAGTGCAATTACATTCGTTTACCCTCTGTCTTTATTAACTGACATTTCTCATTTTGTGGACCGTCAACGAAACAGTACATCCTTGTGCCTATTTCTCAGTAACGTTTGGTGAGACGCACGTCAACTCCACGCAGGTACGTCGACTGCCAAAGCGCGATATTGAGTAGGCCGAAGCTCACTCACCCTAGGTTGTTGGCCGCAATCTCCCAGACCAGAGAAATGAACTTACTGCACTTGGTGTTTACAGGATACGATGGAACGTGTCAGCCGCTATAGTCAGTATACGATGGATCTAACAAAGTAATGAGATGGAAAAAATGATCCTTAGCGTCGAGCGCAATGTGGTCAAGTAGTCCAGTGAGAGTACGAGGTTTCATCGTCTGTCATCTTCTCACTCTTCTCTTAGTCCACAATGCGTATCTTACCGTATCGAGCTGTATTAATAACCAGCTTTACAAAGTGCGCACTAAATATCTAGTTTGTGAACGAATTATAAACAGGCTTTGTTAAAATGAGTAACGACTTGCACACAGGACACGTTGTATTTTTAACTAAATACGCTTTTCGAACTTACGGGGCTGGGGAACTCCAAGCAACTGGCCTGATGTCCGTTCCTTGCGAACCAAAGGGCTAACTGCCCGATTACGTTGCATGTCTACAAAACAATTGAAAGAAACTGATTAGCACCGGTATCTGGCCCTGAGGTAATATGTCGCTTTTAAGGGGACGAAAATTAGCAACCATGCACTAGCCTACACACCCAGAGGACTAAGCGCTGGTAAAGCCAAAAATAGTAGCTAATTAGATTTTAAAATGGAATTTTTCGAATATGGATAGGAATAATGCTTCCATATTTGGATCTTATCTTAGCGTCCGCTTTTAAGCTCTCTGGTTTTACTCGTTAGGCAACAAATAGTGGATCCAGGGTTTTAAAGGTATTAAAAATTACATAACCAGCTTCCACGCAATCCCACACAATTCCCAAATTACGTTCCATTTTGGCTTTGACAATGAGATTGGTATAAAAATATACTAAAAGGTGATTTCACTTGGTTCAGTTGCTGCGTTAGAAGGTTCATCCATGTTAAAACAAGTCAATTCACTGGGCATGTATGTTAATGCTTTCCTTCAAATGAAACTCAGAAATTCAGCAAATGCACACAATTTTGACCAAGAATGTGGACAGCGCAAAAGCATAACTTATTTACTTGCAGGGACGAATAAATCTAAATTCATTAAAAATACACTCAATAATCTACCGAGAGTTGATTCTTGTCTAAGATTCGCTGCTTACCACAAAAAACGATTCCTCTTCGATGCTGATGCTGCATATCCCAGTAAAGTTTGAAACCGTCGTCTGCACATTCCGGATTAATTTAAGTGATTTCACTTCAAAATCTGGTTTAGAGTCAGAACCCGCTTGTTTCGTAACCTGCTGGCAGATTTGAACCATACCCGATTGCCTCAAAATTGACAACTTATCAAACGATGCACACACCGACATATGCACTATGCCCCTGTATTGTGTTTCAAGGGCTTCGTTCAGGTCATCATCCATAAAACTCATTTTTGATGATGCGATTCGCCGGACAGTACTAATGAAGTTTGACGAGATGTTTCTCGCGGAATGGGAACTCGGCGCCACCATCCCAAACGGCAAATCTTCAAGTTTGACGTCTCTCCAATCCAGGAGTCTTACGCGACCATCCACGCCACCACATATAATGCCGTATTTAATATAAGCCAGATCATTTACATCTCCCGCCTGAAGTCTTATGAAGTCGACGGGATAGTTTGAAAGTGCGGTTTGTTCTACATGCAAGCCAGGATTATAAACTACACCGATTGACATTGTGTACAGATCGACCTGAAAAAAGCAAACTCAAATTGTACTTAGTATATTTAGGTAGTATGACAATGCTGTAAATTAGGATGACTAACCATGAATATATGGCCACTTTTGCACCCAAATACAGCATAACCTTCCTCAGTCCACGTAAGACACACCGGCTTCACTCGTCTGGCACTGTCTTGATAATTTTGGTACTCATCGAATGCATCTAAACGCATGCCTGACTTGGGGAGGCTATAGGGTGATAGTACGCAGGGTACCTGAGACAATTTCTCTTTTAGGATGATAGACATTTGGGTTTTCCTCAGGACTTATTAGTTCAATCGGAGAATTATCTTGAGGCTCTTCGTAGTATCCTACAGGTGCATCGAGATGAGGTGCGAAAGCAGTACTGCAAATCAATTACTGGCTTGAATGTTGGAGAGAGCATACCTGCAGGATACGTGGTATTTATCTCCATGCGATTCTAGTGTCCAAACGTATATACATCTCTCAGTAGCTCCTACAATTTTACCTTGATCCAGAGTGCAGAACCCAAAAACCTCCGGACACACGAAATTTAATTGAGTCTCAACAACTAAGCCACCATTTACGTAATCCCATATGGTAAGACTGTTGCTACTTATTGATGTAATACAAGCAAGGAGGTTGGCATTTGAAAATGCTAGATGCAAAACTTCGTTGTGCCTTATTCCTATTTAGTTGTGAATTAAAAAATGGAGTACAAAAACATACTGCCCAAGGGCTTCACATTTCCATCAGGATAATTATACACTACTAAGTTTCCAAAACGTGTATTTGTTTCGGCAAAAGCAATTACTGGTTGAATGGGGTGCACGGCTACAGTAGTTTCAAAAACACTGCCGCATTTAAGGCCTGTGATTGGACCACTTGTTGGAACAAACCGGCAAGAATTGCCTGTTTTCAGACAGACAAGGTCATGGCCCATAAAGTGGACAGCCTTATTAGTGACGCCATGAGACCATCTAAAAGTAAGCAACACAAAAAAGGAATGAACGAATAAAAAGGACAGCTCCTATTGTTTGCTAAATATACTACCTTAGCCTAATAAAAAAATGTTTTGAACAAAATTTTGGAAGGGAATAAAGAAAGGAAAAAGCAGTGACATAGGACTAATTAATAAATTTTGGCCCAAATATATGAATAACGTAATACAATTAAGTGTAACTATAGATCTTCTGGTGGAACCAGGCCACTCTAACGCGGAAAAGGGAAAGGCAGATTTGCAAAAACTTAGAGAAAGCCATTGAAGTACGGTACTAGATTATTTTACTAGCGGTAACTTGACCACAATCTGCCACACTTTGTATATTCGAAAAAAATTATTCCAGTCAATTACAGCAGTATTTTTGTGCAGGTTTTCAGGCGCAGTAAAAATACCAGAACACTGAAAGGTTGGCGATAAGACGTTAATAGGTTATAACAAAAAACGGTAGCAAATTAATATTGCAGCGTTAACTAACTTAAAACGTGTGACAGTTTACTTTAACTTTTATATCCATCGATTTTAATGTCGAAATAAAGAATGCCCGTAACAGCTACGATTACTACCATTACCAGTGCAAAAAACCGATAGTCTAATTAACTCACAAAATACACAGCAATCAAATATCAAAAAGCTAACGACCCAAGAGCTGAGCATTACAGCTAGGTAAACATACACAACTATTATTTCAGGCACAACGTGATATCATTCATAGTAAAAAATATTTTTTAAACAAACAACGGAATGCTAAGCATC